GTAATCAAAATTATCCAACCCCTGTTAAAAAATTAGGTTTATTGGCAAATTTTACTGACTTTCAGCTGTTTGCAATGAACAAATCAAACACAAGTAATTGAAACAGCTCAACACAACAAATGGTTCAAGTGATTTTACCAAATTCAACTGAAAATGCAACTTATAATGACTTCTGCGGTCTCAAAATTATTCAACCCCCGAATAGAATTTGTAAAACAGGTGTTGTCTCACACCTGATGCAACTAGTCATGGGCTTCATTAGTTGCACCAGGTGTGCTTGAGCTAGAACACATGAAATATACCCGAACTGGCTAGCTTTGTTGAGTGTTCATGTTTGAGAGCATGTTCGAAATATGGAAAGCTCTCAAAAGAAAGCTCCAAAAGCTTAAGAGAAGATATCATAACCTTTTTACAAACAAGGTACAGGATACAAAAAGATAGTGAAGGCACTAAATGTTCCTAGAGACACCGTTGGAAGCATAGTTCGCAAGTTCAAAGTTAAAGGAACAGTGGTTACACTACCTAGACGGGGCAGAAAAAGGAAGCAATCAACGGCTGCGACCAGATTTCTGAGAAGGCAGGTTCAGAAAAACCCTCAAGAGACTGCAAAGAGACCTGCAGCAAGACTTGGTGGCTGGCAACAGACACTGAGGTTTCAGCTTGCGCAGTAAGGCGCATGCTAAACGCATACCAGAACTCTAAGACGTACACCACTACTGACCCAAAAGCACAAGAAAAACAATTAAATAAGCAACAGAAATTTTGGGATTCTGTTCTGTGGAGCGATAAATCAAAACTGGAACTTATCGGCCCTATGGATCAGTGGTATGTCTGGAGGAAGAATGAAGCATATGCTGAAAAGAACACTGTCTAAAGTTAAGCATGGTGAGGCTCGGTAATGCTCTGCGGCTGCTTTGCACTGGAAACCTGCAGTGTGTGGAGGGAGAGATGAATTTACTGAGATATCAGGAAATCTTTAGTGTGGAAGCTGAAGCTTGGGCGTCATTGGACCTTCCAACAGGATCCCAAGCATACCTCAAGTTCCACCAAGGCTTGGTTGCAGAAGTCCTGGAAGATTCTACAGTGACTTGGTGGGATTTGAAGAAGGTGGTTACAACATGCAAACCCAAGAATATTACTGAACTGTAGGCCATTGCTCATGAGGAATGGGCTAAGATTCCTCAGAAACGCTGCCAGAAGCCAGTGTCTGGTTATAGATCTTGTTTTCAGCAGGTCATAACAGCAAAACAGTGTTCTACTAAGTACTAAAGATGCTTGCCATGAAGGGGTTGAATAATTCTGAGACTGCAGAAGTCATTAAAAGTTGCATTTTCAGGGGAAACCACATAAAAACATTTGTTGTGTTGAGTGATTTCAATTACTTTTGTTTGATTTAGTCACTGCAAACAGCTCAAAGTCTGTAGATTTTGCCAATAAAGCTAATGCAATGGGAGTTAAATAATTTCGATTACAACTGTACATAGACAGGTAGGACATCATATCGTTGCATTCAGAACTAATGAAATGATTGGACAAACATTTTATGGCCCTACACCTTCCATCGACAATATATACATATAAATACATTTAGACCACTTCACTTAGTGATTGCTATCAGGATGTGAACAGACTTTCAACCAGCATAACAAAAATGTTTCTGGAGAAAATCACCTACCCTGCCTTTAAAGGAGAACTCCGGCGCAAAATGAACCATCGGTCTAATGGTGTGTTAACACCGGATGCGAATAGCATCCGGTGTTAAGTCAATGCAAAGACGCGTTACGCACGTAAAAAAATCCTGCAGCGCGAATGAGGCTAAGAGCGCGGCGCGGAAGACGCGAATACGGTGAGGATCCACTTGTCAGTGCGGCACTTCTGTCGTGCCGCGCTCCGATTTATTCCTATGAGTGACGTCATGCGCCTGCAAAGCATCCCGGGAAGGCGGCGCTTCATTTGGAAAAATGCTGTGCGTCAAAAAGCTGGCCGATGCCCATCTTTATGCAAATGAATTCCGTTGAATGCGCTGCGACTATCCAATAGAAGTAGAGCATATGGAGACGGGGGGAAGTCTCTCGCAGGTCCTCTGTTCTAGACTGGCTGCTGGCTCAAAACTACGGCCATAGCGGTAAACTTGAGGAACGCCCATCAAAGTACAAATGTTGGGAGGCGTCGCGACAACACGCGACTGTCGTGTCGGACAAGTGGATCTCTACCGTCGTTCGCGCAAATTGAGCGTCTGGTATGGCGCGTCAAACGCGTAACACGCGAATGATTTAGTTAGTGCTATTTGTGCATTCACGCGTTTGACGCGAATTCGCGTTTGCCGCCCGAGTTGAAAAACCTGAACTTTGGCGTCAATTCGTGCCGCGTTAACCAATCAGGAGCCTAGCTGCTTGCTCACGTGGTGAAGTATCTGGATGCTTCAATAAATTATTGTGTAATATGACTAAATGCATGATGGGATTATGCACAACAAAGCAAATATTTTATCACTTAAAACTTTATTTCTATATACGAGTTCATTTTGTATTGAATGTTATTCATTCCATATCAAGATTATATATATTATTATGATGTAAAGACAACCAACATACATGTGCATAAGTTCGTATCTGGACGTGAGAGAGAAAATAATCACAGGACAGGTTAATAACTTTTGAAGGCTGGCTCTTTATCATCAAAACAAAAATAAATGACAGCCAGATTAGATGGATGAGGGCGAGGGTGATCCTCGCTCCGATGCGGGACAACAGGTCATCAAACTGGGCGCGTGACAGGCGGAAGTACCACTGACAGCGGCCGTTATCCAGCGCATTTCCTGGAGCGAGCAAATGGTGAAACTCGGCAAACGGTTCACCTCAGAAGGGTCCGGTGGACACAAATATACGGCGACGATGATCCCCATGCCGCTGTTCTGCTCTCCAGAGCAAATACAGAGCGGTGACTCTCTCGGTCGACATAAAAACAATGGCCACCAACGGATTTCAATTCTGACGCGCGAACATTTCACTTCAAACTTTTGTTTTTACGCACGTCAGTTTCACTCTTGACACGCGAATTAACACGAAGTGGTCAAGCGTCAAACTAGACGCGTCAGGAGCGAATTTGACGCGCTATTCGCGTTGGCTGTGAACGCAGCATAATAAAACATCGGTACCTATCAACCGTTCTCTGAGATTTGTTTTCATGATAATCAAATGTAAAGGGGTTTATCTCTAAAAGCTGTTAAGCGTATAACGCTAGTAATGGGGTACTAACTAAGTTAAAAGAAATCGCTAGTTTATACCACTAACAAGGCTTAAAATAGCCCCACACTAACACAGTAACATAATGATGATCCCTACATGCAAAACGAAGCATTGAGAACTTTGTAAGTGTACAGACCGTTTAATAAGAAGATACTTTATGAAGACAGTTCACTTCGTGTATACAGACAGGAGCCATCAAGGAAAACAGTCACGACAAGTCAAACCACGAACGTCATGCTGAGTGAGCTGAACTGTATGAAGTTCAGCAAACTTCTGAACTGTATGAACGGTGTTCGGGGATCGACTTATCGAGACTGTTTTCTAAGATGGCTCCTGACTGTCTTTATAAAGTATCTTCTTATTAAACAGTCTGTACACTTACAAAGCTCTCAATGCTTTGTTTTGTATGTATGGAGCCTCATTATGTTACTTTGTTAGTGTGGGGCTATTTTAAGCCTTGTTAGTGGTACTTAGCGATTTCTTTTTACTTAGTAGATGCCCCCATCACTAGCATTATACGCTAAACAGTTTTTAGAGATAAAACTCTTTACATTCGATTATCACGAAAACAAATCTCAGAGAACGATTGACTAGGTACCAAAGTTTTATTAGACCAAAGGTTCATTTTGCGCCGGAATTCTCCTTTAAGGGTTCACTGAAAGTTTCTTTTGGGGAACCCAAAATTGTTCTTAAATGGCCCCTATTGGGACCCTCTTCAGGCCAATAAATAATTTGAATAATAGTTATTGCCATGACTACTTAAATTTTTGCAAACACAGTCATCTGTTAGTCCCTGCAAACACCTCCCTCTAAATTCAAATGGGACTCCTTCTTGGAAAAGCTATCCTGGGATATATTTAGGACCCCAGAGTATGAGCGTGTTTGTGTTTGTGGAGATAATCAGTGGTAGGAGAGTGTTAGGTTATTAAATGCTGTGCACTTCCCCCAGGAAGTCACACCAGAAGGAGGAATGAGAGCTGTTGGCTTCACACCTCAAATGGACGGCACAAAACAGGCAATAACAGGAGACAGCCTGTGCCTGCTCCTCAAACCCACACTCAACTGCACTGCATTCATGAGCTATTAGACGGGCATCGGCAAATATCATCACCGATGCGCAAGCCACAAAAAAATATCATTGTATTCAAAACCAGCTGTTTATGTTCTACATTCCACATGATTCATTACTTTCATTTCTCCACATGATAAATTGCCTGTCAATAGTCTCCAGCTGCAACCACAACAGAAATTTGCCCTTGTTGACATGAATACTTTCCCCCTACATCCGACCGAGGAAATCAGGTCAGACTAGTTTTATAGGTTCAGCAACTCATGCTGAAAACAAACCTTTGGTAACAGATGATTCTTTCCAAAGTTTGCAAAGGCGTTTGCTGTTAGAAAATGGTCAATGACAGTTTAAACAAGATAACCTAAATGAAAAATCTGAAAAAGTCTAGTGTATCATATGATTTTGAATATCTTTTAACAACAGCTTGAAAGTCTAAAAAGTCTAGCAAAAAAGCAATTAAGCACTACTAATTATATTTTACTTTAAGTATTGTGTAGACAATTTAATTATAATTACTGATTCACAAATGCTGGGTTGTTAAAGGTTTTTAAATTCAACCTTTGTGTGTGTGTGTGTGTGTATATATATATACAATTAGTAAACATTTATAGTCAGCTTTTATGCAATTAAATGCATAACTCATATTTGGATATACATCCACCAAATGACAAAGATGCCCCAAAAACATTACCACCAGACACGTTTAATAGCAGTATCTTATTTACAAGCAAATACATGTGCACACATCCACTGGAATTTAACGGGTGACCGCAAAGCTGTATGGAAAACAGAGCACAAAAGACTAACTTCCTGTGTTATGGACGAGACCCAAGGTGACAAGAGCAGACAAGCCAAAGCAGAATCATGCATGATTAGACAGAGAGAGATCAAACGGGCCCCTATCATGGCCACTGCACAAGGGGGAGAGGCATCCGGCTAAACGCATATTCAAAGGGAAAAATCTGCTATGCCATAGTATAAAAGGGAAAATAGAAGGGTTTGTCTGCTTGAATTGTAACGCAGATAACATCAGTTTTGTTTTTCTTCGCAAAGTTGCAAGTAGTCAAACATTTGTGGATGCCAAATGTTCATGACCCGAGATGCTATTCATACGCCTTCTGGATCTTAACTTTGGTCTTAATAAGCCATTTCAAACAACTACATAGCCAATAAAACATGTCTAAACCACATCAAAAGTGACAACTTGAAAACAGTATCTTTAATTTCATGTCACGAAGGGAGGCTGAGAGAAACAGAAACAGTAAAAAGAATAGAGAAAAGAAAAGAAAAGAAAAGCGTTGACTGTTTTCATTTCACACTGCCATTCACAAAGAGAAAAGCTCTTCATGAATGGTGACCAGCAGTGACTGGTTGCTGTCTTGTCAAACGTGACTGAAAAGAAAAAAGACTGAAATATAAAAGCAAGACTTCCCCCTGCTGGTCCACAGGGAGCATAGCACATGCTTTTACTAAAAACAAGATCTCAGTTACAGACTGAAAATAGACAAATAGCACTCAACGTCAACCCACGAATGATTTCAGGACAGGTACAGAGCTGTTAGCGTCCACTACTTTATATCTAGAAACGTGAAAAGAGTATCCTGCAATCAGCAAACAGCGCTTTCAGAAGCAGGGGGTGGAAAATAAAAGTTCCTCCTCCATCGCTCTGGAATCCCGCAGTCTTTCATTCAGATGGGTAGATTACAGAAGGAAGGGTTTTTTTTTTTTTGTAAAGATATTTTCCCCGCCGGGTCAATGGCTCAACACAGGCCCATACATGTGGTTTCATTTCCAGCAAGTAACTAGAGTAGATTAAAAACATGTATATAAATATATCATTATGCGTTTACTTGACTGGCCAGTCATTATTTTCAACTTATGAAACGTAATAATATATCTTATATATATTTTTGCAGTCAATTCAAATGATTAATCATGATTAATTGCATCTAACATAAAGGTTTTTGTTTACATAATGCAGTGTTGTAGTACTCGAGACTCGGACTCGTCTCGGACTCGGTCTCGAGACCATATTTTAATGGTCTTGGTCTTGTCATGGACTCGTGTCCATTTGGACTCGGAATTGACTCGTACTCGAACATTTTTTTTTTTTAGGACTCGGAATTATTCCCGAGTCCACTCGAGTTCAATTCAAAATATTTTTCATGATTATTAATGTATGTTAATAAAATATTTCTTTAAATTGATTGACACGCCCAGTGATTGGTGATTTTCTAGTGCGCAACTGCGCATGACAAATTGTAATAAAATTACTTTTAACACCACCTACTATGTGGTCTTTTTAGCCTAAACTGATCACATTTTTTAAACTCTAAGTAAATTCAGTAAAAAAAAAAAAAAAAAAAAGATTTCTCTAAGTAAACAGAAGTAAATTAGGTAATCAAACCTCACTGGTCTCGGTCTTGGCTCGGACTCGACCGTCTCTGGTCTCGGTGTCGACTCGGACTCGAGTGAGGTGGTCTCGACTACAACACTGACATAATGTGTGTATATGTAGATATATGTGTGTGTGTGTGTGCGTACAGTATATATGAAGAGTTCAGATGTAAAAGCCTCTAAGTGCCATTTTAAATTTTCTTCTAAAATGATCATTTTTATCAAGCTTGTATATTTAAGTTCAGTAATTTCACTTAAATGGCAATGAAGATTACCTATTAATTGTCATTTAAGTGAAATTGCTGAACTTAAATATACAAGCTTGATAAAAATGGTCATTTTAGAAGAAAATTTCAAATGGCATTTAGAGGCTTTTGCATCTGAACTCTTCATATACATATGTGAAAAAAAGTTATGTTAGATGCAATTAATCGCAATTTGACAGCAATAATATATATACACACACACACATTTATTATTATAATATATGGGGGAAAAGTTAATCAGGAATTCATTAGATCCTGAAAAAAAGCTTTTAATTTAATATCGCATGCATTTTTCAATCTCTCTCTCTCTTTCTCTCTCTTGCACACACACACACACACACACACACACAAAAGGGCATACATTTTGATTTCATGTCTTTAAAATGTAATTACACAATAATAACCAAAATGAACAATTGAAGGTAAATCCCAAGACAAATGAGACAAGTTGCCTTCATAAAACAGGCTGACAAATATTAACCTAGATGAAGAGAATTCTGGTCCGTGGAAGAGTAGAAAAGGAGTCTGACATTTTTCGGATCTTTGCGTAGTTGATAAAGCCTCTGAGGAACAGCAGGAAGCCTGTAGGTCATGGAAACTCATATCAGCTCTCATTTAGCCCAACAATGTACAATTTCTTAATTCAAACTAAGTTTTGCTTATTGAAACAACTTAAGCCTATTTTACAACCAAAATATTTTACACAAAGCAAATCAACTGATATCATTCGACGTCAGCCGCAAAAACAACGAAAAAAAGTACAAGTTGTGTTTAGAGCCCTTATACTTACCAAGCACCAGAAACACCCACCACAGCCAGTACTGTCCATCAAAGTAACCAGGGAAATAAGTGGAAAACTGAGAACGCAAAAAGAATAAAACACCAATCATGTTCAGGCTTGTTATGTCAAGAAAACACATTATAATAAATCACAGGCTGTTTAACTCATTCAGTCAGATCCTAATGCGGTGTAATGTGCTTCTGTAATGTTCTCACAAACCCAGCCAAGACAAAATGGTTAACCAATTGATATACTAAATAAAAGGTGTAAAATTAGCTGCAGTTGTCTAGGTGGTGGTGGCATACCCGTACGATGAGGATCCATTTGATGAGTGACAGACCAAACCCAGATATGGCACCGTAACGCCCGGCTGCTGAGGTTGTAAGGCAGAATGAGAGAAAGAAGCCAATCCAGTTGAAGAGGAAAGCCACTGAGGAAAAAGAATACACATTCAATTATCAATTAGATTTCTTTTCTTTTCTTTTTTTTGTTTATTCTAGGAATATTTCCTTAACCATCATCACATATCCCAGAAAAAATACAAATAAAAATCAATATGACCCTCATTATTATAATTATCTTTTTGTTTCTTTATTTCTTGTCAACATTCATGCCTTAAAGGTATATTTCACTTCCAAATGAAAATTCTGTCATCATTTACTCATTCTCAAGTTGTTTAAAACCTGTATGAATTTCTTTCTTCTGCTGACCAAAAAAGAAGACATTTTGATGAATGTCGGTAACCAAACAGTTAATGGACCCCATTGACTTCTATAGTATTTTTTTCCTGCTATGGAAGTCAATGGGGTCCATTAACTGTTTGGTTACCGACATTCATCAAAATGACTTCTTTTTTGGTCAGCAGAAGAAAGAAATTCATACAGGTTTTAAACAACTTGAGGATGAGTAAATGATGACATTATTTTCATTTTACAGTAAACTATTCCTTTAAATTTTCTAGATTTTTTTCTTAAACCAAACAATGCTAGGTTGGCCTTTGCTAAAGTGCATTAATGACAGACCAACTTCAGCAAATGTCCTTTAAATGCTTTAATCACGATCTCAGAGCAATTCTCCAGAACATCTCTCCAAAAAGAAGCATTTTTTTTTAGGTTTTATAGGATAAAGTAATGTCACCTTCTATCAATATTAGGGGTGCCCCGGGCCGATCACCAATCCCCGATTACTGGAAGCTGTCTCACCCGATACCGATCACAGGGTCTATTTAAAGCCTTGTATTTATCATGAAGCATTATTTTTTAAAAGTTTATCACAGGTTAGACCCAGAAGGGGAAGTAAGATTTGTTTTGTTATATTGTCAGAGTTAGTCATAATATTAGACCCAAAGAGGAAGTCTTAGATATTCTATATTAGACCTAAATAAGAGCTTTCCTATAGCTCAAACAGTAGAGTGTTGGTGCTTGCAGCGCCAAGGTCATGGATTCGATTCCCAGGGAAAGCAAGAACTGATAAGAAAATTGTAAAATTGAAATGCAATGTAAGTCGCTTTGGATAAAAGCGTCTGGCAAATGCATAAATGTAATGTAAATGCAAGTCAGGTGAAAGTTTACCATAAGGTTAGAGTCAGAAACATGGTTAGTTCTAAAAGATTCTTTACCATCTTATCTATTAAAAATCCATCAAAAAAGTCCCACTTGATCATAAAGAGAATAAAAGAACAAAGAGAAAGAGCAAAAACTGTTTCACCGTCGGTGAAAACACTTACTGAAAAACGTCAACATGAAAATGCCGTCGTTGCCTATCCGCAGCTGGTCGGCATCCTCAAAGTCATCTCTGGCCACAAAGTCATCGTCCTGGAGGAAAACACAGAGACATGGATGTATATCAACAGAGAAGGAAACAAGACTAAAACAACACACTGGGAAACATCATGTGATCCTTTAAATGAGAAAACTGAGAAGTTCATAATGACGGAAAAGAAACGTGACTGGATGCAGAGCATAAAATAATTCACAGAAACAAAAAACCACAGACACACATTAATAAGCTAAAGAGACGCTAAAGCAACACTTTAAAGGGATACTCCACTTTTTTTGGAAATAGGCTCATTTTACCACTCCCCCAGAGTTAAACAGTTGGGTTTTACCGTTTTCAAATCCATTCAGCCAATTTTCTAATATTTAGAAGAATATCAGTAACTAGACAGTTTCTGGTCTCATTGACTTCCATAGTAGAAAAAAAAAAAAATATACTATGGAAGTCAATGAGACTGTCTGGTTACTGATATTCTTCTAAATATCAAAAAATCGGCTGAATACATTCGAAAACGGTAAAACCCAACTGTTTAACTCTGGGGGAGTGGTAAAAATGAGCCTATTTCCAAAAAAAAGTGGAGTATCCCTTTAAGAGCGAACTTGGTGGAAATGTAGCTTAAAGGCCTGCACATACAGAACGATCTGGCGTGACAAAATCAGTAAAGTTCATTTGGAGTTTGTTTCAAGAGTTCAAAACAGTTTTCTGGAAAAGTTTGGTCTGGGTCCTTGTAAACACCTTTGCACTACCATTGGTCCATGGCGATAGGTTGGTGTAGCTGAGGCTCCGCCTTCTCTGACGTGGACATTTTTGGTTCAGTCCGTCAAAGTCAGACGTCCACGAGTAACAACATGGACACACCAGGCGAATGCTGCTTTATAGTAGAAATTGAAGTTCAAATTTTCAACCCTTTTTTCATGTTTAATACTGTAAAGCTGTGTGTGTTAAATACCGTATAAAGTGGTGTAAATCAGCCAAATTGCAAAGCTCGAGTAAACAACCACATTGGTATGATGAGATGCTTTCTTGTTTGATGTTTCCTCCACTGTTATTTTTGTTCTGTTTATTTTATTATCAAGAGAAAAGTGTATTACAACTGCATTCATACGCTATCACAAGCAGGATCAGTATGATCGCTAACAGGACTTTTTTGAAAAGTCCTGAAAAAATGAAAAAGAACTTTGCCTTAATGGTGCTTTCAAACGTGTTTGATTGCTTGATGAAAGCCAGAGTTTGATTGCTCACTCGTTCCTCTGCCTCTGGATTCTGTTCACACTGTATTTAATGGGTCAGTGGCACGTTTGTATCAAAGCGCCCTGTTTGGTCCCGATGCGAGGTTATGTATACGCAGGAGGAGGCAGCAAAATGTGTGGTGCTTGCTCACCTCACTTTTGTACTTTGGTTTTCAAACCTTAGTTTCAAAATCTACGGTAACACTTTATAATAACTACACGCTAATAATAATTAGTTAAGTATGAGTAAACCATTAATTCATCATTCATAAAGCATTAATAGACATTAATAAGCAGTTTATAAATACAGCTATAAATCTTTTCTTCTTAATTTAAAAGCGTATCTATAATTTGTTAAATAATTGTATTTTCATCCTTTATTAATGATCAATTTATCATTTCTAAATGAAGAATTGCAATTTTTATGAACCAGTTCTTTGAGAGTTATCAATGGTTCATATACTTAGAGCGTGTAAGTAAATGATTAATAAACTATTTAAATGTACATTCATACATCTTATCATTCAGACATATAGTGATGGTTACTTAGTGTGTTAATAAATGCTTTATTATCATGTATCAATGCTGTAATTCAGGGTTAATTTGGGTAGTTAAACCATTTAGCAGTGGTCAGTTGACTATGTTCGTGAGCTCATCTAAAGTGAGGACTATTCATGCCTTGTAAAGCATTTTTAAAGGCTGTTAAATATTTCTATGTTCTGTATCACTGTGTTGTGTTTGTTACTTTTTACTGTTTAGAAGATTGATGAGCCTTTAAATCGCCTTTATAAATGCTTTACAAAGCATGAATAGTCCTCACTTTAGATTAGCTCACAAAAATAGTTAACTAACCACTACTAAATGCTTTATAACTACCTGCATTTACTATATTTACTAACACTTTCTAAGTGATCTTATGAATGACTGACAACTCTTAAACAACTGGTTTGTAAATAATGCTATACTTCATTTAGAAATTATTAATTGATCATTAACAAAGTATGAAAATACAATTATTAAACGCATTATAGATATGCTTATAAATCAAGAAAAAAGCATGTATAGCTATATTTATAAACTGCTTATTAAGGTCTATTAATGTTTTACAAATGATGAATTAACTGTTTACTCATGCTTTATGATTAATAGCGTGCAGTTATTATAAAGTGTTACCAAATCGGGTAATAGATAAAATAATTTGATAATGAAAGAAAAAGAAAACCCCAACAAACTTGATTATTAAATAATCCCATCTGCGCAATATGCACAGAAAACAAATGCCAGTCACGTCACTTTACAGCAGCAAATAATGCATTTCTATGAACAAAACGCATCAGAAAAAGTAGCAGAGGATGTGGAGTGAGCATGCGTCCCTCATGGGAAACTCCACATCATGACTGAGATGACAATCTCGCCGTACAAAGGTCAGTGTGATGGCTCTTTAAGAGCTAAAGCATAAAAAGCACTGAGCTTGTTAATTCAACACATTCTCTAACTCAAGGCAATATGTTTTCATAGTACAATGAATTCTTAAAAGATATGGAATAGGATTAATTCAGAATAATGGAAACATTTTCCCCACAAACAGACAGATAGATATATAGACAGAGACAGACAAATAGACAGATATACAGATATATAGACGGACAGACAAAGATAGATAGATAGATAGATAGATAGATAGATAGATAGATAGATAGATAGATAGATATACAGACAGAGAGATAGGTAGATAGGCAGATAGACACAGACAGACAGATAGATAGATAGATAGATAGATAGATAGATAGATAGATAGATAGATAGATACATTTCTTTTAAGTGTATCTCTTGAAACATTATTTGTTTGTGTGTTCTTTAAGATATAGATGTGTTAAAGAAATTGCAAGATGCATTATCTCCTATGCAAATGTGGTTAGGACTGGTGCAAAAGGACAGAATGTTCGTCTCTTCTCAGAAATAGATAAGTTTGATTGCAGCAAGAGCAAAACAAGTTTTTAGGTGAAATGTTTTAAAAGTGACATGTGTGCTTACTGTGGATATACATAGATACGAGGTGTTAGAATATAGGGAACTGAGAACTGTGCGCGTGCAAGGGCCCTTAGAAAAACAAGTTCGTACGAAGAAGGGGGTTGGGGGGGGGGGGGGTTGATCTTTTGTATATAAACTGTGTAAGATGAGAAGACTTTTGCCCTTCTCTTGCCAGACTCTGTCTGTGTGTGAACTGCCTTTCTTATAAGAAAGAAAGAATAATACTTATGACTTTCGAGATCTTCATTTTTTATTTAATTGTTATTTAAGATCTAGGCAAAGTATTAACCTTCAAATGGTCTTCGTTTCCTGTTTACACTTCTGGGTCTATACGACACCAAATATTGATTGAGTAATTGTACAACAAAATATACATTTTTAATCATACAAATAATATATCATTTTTTTTGTTGTTTACTTATCTATTCATTAATGCTGTGTTTTTGGAGATTTAAAGTACTTTTGTATCCAAATACCACACAATTTCTCAACTACACCATTAGCTTGCATATGAAATATTTTTTTATGATACATTGCATTTATGCTCTAGTACTAGGCCTTCATTTCTGTGCAAAATTTTTCAGATTTATGCCAGATTTTTTTTTTTTGACAGATGAAGAAAATATATTTAGTTTTTTTCACATTTCCCATTCATTTCAATGTGGGGTCATATTGACCCCGAAGACCAGAAGTGTAAGCATTTTTTTTACATACATTCAGAACAACCGAATCAAGCCCAGTTTTGTGTGTGTGTGTGTGTGTGTGTATAGATAGATAATGTATGAAAAGTCAATAAATCTTATTCCACTGAGATGAAGGGAACCTTTTTTTTATTAAGTAAAAGTCGATTGGGGTCGTATAGACCCCATGTCCTGATTGAGGACTATTGGATGGATGGATGGATGGATGGATGGACAGAGAGATAGACAGACAGACAGACAGATATTAGCAGAATTAAACTCAAATAGTAAAATCCCTCCAGAAATAAATGTTTAATATGCTCTATAGAAATCATCGCGTCTGCTGTTCTCCTAATGCTACTAATTTGATCAATCATGCAAAACTCAGTTATTATCAGCGCAACAGTTATTACTGTTGTTCTTCTGCATAGATACCAAAAATAGATATACAGGTGAAACTAAAAAAATTAGAGTCTCGTGCAAAAGTTCATTTATTTCAGTAATTCAACTTAAACGAATATATTATATAGACTCATTACCTGCAAAGTGAGATATTTCAAGCCTTAATTTGTTATAATTGTGATGATTATGGCTTACAGCTTATGAAAACCTTTCCACAATATTCTGATTTTGAATTTGGGGTTTTCATAAGCTGTAAGCCATAATAATCATCAAAATCACATCAAATAAAGGCTTGAAATATCTCACTTAGCATGTAATGAGCCTATATAATATATTCGTTTCACCTTTGACTTACTGAAATGGACTTTTGTACGATATTCTAATTTTGGAGTTTCACCAGTATATGCCTCTCTAGTCAAGTCATGCAGCGAGGATCAAGCCCTGGGGTCTTCCATGGACGTCACCTGCAGCATCACACTATACAATCTCACACACTCTGTTACTGTACCTCCAGCGCACAGCGAGTTACATCATCGAGTGTGTCCAGACGTTCCCTGTGCTGTACGCAAGCAGTGTGTGGCAGAGAAACAGAGCAGTGAACAAGGGAAACCACATCACATTAAAACAGTATTTCCTGTGGTGATGTTGATAAGGACGTTCGCAGGATTCGTGAGTGAGATTTGTGGTACTTACTCGACCGGACACAAGTGGGACGGTAACCTCTGCTTTGGATCTCTCAGCCTCGTCGTACGATGGAAGTGTGGTGGCAACGTTGTAAGACGGGGGCTTGGGAAATGCTGCATCGTCTTTGTAATCAAAATATGCTGAGAAGATGGAAAGATATGAATAGCGATTACTTACACTATTATATAATGGGATGAAAAAGCATGTTGAAAGTTTATAGGGCTCCTTTAATTAGGGCACTATGACGTCTGAAGGGCTGAATCACGATACGAACTAGTGTCGGTGGATATTAAACTTCAAAAAGACTGCTAATAAAAAAATCTCCATGTTCTGCATGTCTCTGCGCCATTTCTTTTAGCACACACTCAAGAACGCGTGACGCTTCTGGCTCACTACACACGAGCTTCATCTCCAGAGCTGCTCTGAGACGACACTTTACAAGCTGTTCACCATTACATTTGATAATACTATCTTAAGATACACACAGAAACTCAAAGGTCTTCACTAAAAAAATGAGGAAAATTGGTTTAACATGAAGAAATATTACTTGTGCAGTAGAATGTACTTCTCAATGCACCGACAATAATAATTATTATTAGGGCTGTGCAAAAGTTAATTGCGATTAATCGCATCCAAAATAAAAGTCTGTGTTTACATAATATATTTGTGTGTGCTGTATATAATTATTTTGTATATATAAATACACACACATGCATGTATATATTTTATATAAATGTGTTATTCATATATGAAATATTTATATTTATATAATATAGATTATGTATTTATAGATGTATACAGAATTTAAGCGCAAATAATTCTTAAATATATACATGCATGTGTGTGTATTTATATATACAAAATAATTATATACAGCGCACACAAATATATTATGTAAACACAGACTTTTATTTTGGATGCGATTAATCGCAATTAACTTTTGCACAGCCCTAATTATTATTTAAACAGTAAACCTGTTTATGCCGAACAATAAAAATGAATGGATGATTTCAATATGATTACATTGTTTTATGCATTATGCAAGATAATACATTTGTAGGGATGTCCTGAGTCGATTTTTTAACTGATGGGTCTCTGCTATAGAGAGACAGAGCACATTTAAGCCACGCCCCCACACAGGGGGGCAATCCAACCCACTCCATTGACTTTGTATTTCGTGAAACTGCCTCTTTGTCATTTCTTGCTTCTAAAAAAAAATACAGAACAATGCCTAAAAGCAGGGCGTACAGCAAACAAGCAAAAAAAAAAAAAAAAAAAACAGAACTACATTTCTATAAGCTACCGTAAAAGCCAGCCTTTAAAGTATCCAACGTTTTTTAGGGCTGGACCAGAATATTCAAATATTTGTTCGGTGGGTTGGTATTCGATTTGAAAATGTGACATTCGAATAATCGTTTTTTGTTTTGTTTTGTTTTTTTTTCACACCTGGCATCCCACTCAAAACGGTTCTCATTCGTGCGTGAATGTGTTTTACAGTATAAAATCTCGACAAATATAATACTTAACATTTAACTTTGTTATAGCTACTTAATAAATATATTTGCTTCTTCTTGGACTACTAAAAGTGTTCCTGAAGCGGGAGTATTCTCCAGCTAGAGCACAGAACAGCAGAGTTTGTATGGACAGAAGTGCATGCCGCTTGTATTTTGGGTTAAGCTGCGTTGCTTTGACATTGTGAAAAATAGAATAATAGAAACAAAATGTATTATCCTTTTAACCCATTATTATCAATCTAAATTAATCTACTGCGAGACTTTGAGATTTTACTGGGACGTCGAGTCACAATTTTGTTTTTCTTTATTTCAATTTCCTTTTTCTATATTTAAGTTATTAGTTTTTAATTATTTATTTATCTCTCAACCGATCTGGCGTGCGAGACACTTTGATATCACTTAACTTGCCCAGTTCATTCATTAGGATCTTAAAAGAGAAGCGACCAAACACCTCCACGTTTTCCCTATTTAAATACAGTTACACGAGTAGTGTAACTCGACCAAGAATGCTGACACGTTGTGTTTTACTAAGCATTAGGCCTGGGTATTGGCACAAATTTCACAATTCGATTCGATATGGATTTTTGGACATCAGTTGCAATAAATGGCTAATTTTCTCAAGGAAATTAAATCACTTAACTAATACTGTAAAGTAAACTATGGGAGTCTAGTTGTAGCCTACTAGGCTTCATTAGCCTAATATGAAGGTAATAATTAACTGTTTTGTAGCTATACAAACACTTAAATTACACTTTTATTTATTTTTTATAATAATATTATATATGAAATCTAAACATTTAAATGGTGGCTGTCATAAAAAAATAAAAAAAAACTTGCCAGATTTATTCAAATATGCATTAAATATTGAAAAACATTAAGATTATAATGCATATGTAATATGGTGTATAGATTTAGCAAAATGCTCCTCTCAAGAGTTATTTTTTCTAGCTGACTAACGAGTTTATGTGGGTTTTCTGAGGTAAATATGATGATACATGACATTGTTTAGTTGTTTACTGACGTCTTTCCTCGGTTGAAACGCAGATTGAGCGAATCAATGTGACATGATACAGATTTCGATAAGTTGTACTGTATCTTTAACACATTTTCAGATGGTCATTCATGTTTATTTCGCACTGTAACTGGTATTATTAACCCGGAAGAGAGATCAGCGCTGCTGCTTCTCTTGAGCTGCGCCAGAGCGATCTCACGCCACAGCGCCAAAACGCTATTTATTTTGAATTTGTAACGAAAATGGACGCAATTTGAAAATTCAGACTTTGTATCATATCAATAGTAACAAAGGACAAAGATTATTGCGTTTTTTTTGGATGCGCGCCGCCGCAATACAATGATCCATTCATTCAAATGAAACAGGATGACTAATCGATTCTTGAGATTTAAGAATCGATATCGGTTCGTAAAGATGAAAATCGATTAATATCGAGAAATCGATATTTATTACCCAGCCCTACTAAGCATGTAAAGTGTATAACTATAATGTATGGCGAAATACCACAGCAAGCACTTGGGAGCACTTCGACTCGGCGCAGTAATAACATCACTCGTGAAAAGTGTGTGATATTATTACTGCGCGAGTCCATAGACATATATGCGCCGAGTCGACGTTTTATTTTGCGTCACCATTCTTGGTCGATTTACACTACTCGTGTAATTGTATTTAAATAGGGAAAACGTGAAGGTGTTTGGTCGCTTCTCTGCTTGGCCCATATTGAATGAACTGGGCTAGTTAAGTGCGATCAAAGTGTCTCGCACGCCAGAGCGATTGAGTGCAGCCACTGAGAGGAGAGAGGTATGCATTAACTCCCCTTAGTTAAGGGAATAACAAACAACAAAAACGGTGGCGTATCCCTTTAAGGAGACAAAAGTGGATACAGGCAATAAAACATTTGAGCTTCTGTGTTTTATATATTTCATGCATACTTTTGTAAGTAATCACTCAAATGTAATTTATTTACTTTAATTTATTATTCAGAGTTGACTGACTGGCATTCTAACACTGAGCTTCATGCTTTCTAACCTTATCTTATATCTGAAATCCAGAAATAAATTAAAAGAAAACACACAGTTTGGGACAAAATAAAACCGATTTCATGAGCCCTATAAAAGTTGCATACCTGCATTGTCAGCTGCAATACTGCTGTAAGGGGGCGGAGCATCACTGGCCAGCTGAGGCCCCTCCTCCGGATCCTCCTCATTGGGCAGCTGGACACACAACAGACAGTTCATTGGCTGAATCTAATCGTAAACTTTGCCTGCCCGGATTCATTGTGATATGGGTGCACTGTAAACATGATCCTGATGTAAAGGCAGATGAAGATATGAGATCATTGTTTTTGGTTCATGTCAAGCCTAAATGAATGGGTTCTGTATATTATTCTGCTGTAGTACTTCCTGAAACAGTAAAATAACCATGACAAATGTAACCCGAAGCTGAAACTCGCATGACTTTCCATAAACTTAACACTCACATGTGTTCCAAGACAGAGTTCACCTTCAGCCTTTCATAAATAAAGTAAAGATTGGGCTACCAAACCGCCTTTCATTAATGATGACCCGAAACATGCATTACATAAAACAACATTCAATGAATCTGGACAATGCAAAACATTTATTTTTATTCACCAACTAGTAATAAATTAAACAGTCCCATAATAAAAACACGTCAGAATAAAATTACACCATTATTGGAGAAACAGTAATAACAATATTAATCCCTAAAATGCCTACTGTATGAAATTTGATCCATGAATTTTAAATTACCAACACGATCAAAACTGCAGAAAAACCAGTTGAACAAAATCTATCACATTGCCTTCAGTCATTTGATTGGTCGTTTAACTTTTTAGTAAGAAAAAGGCCTTTCAGCGTAATTCTAAAAATGGGTCAGGACAGGTTGTGGTTCACATGTCTTTTTCCTGTGACATTTGAATGTTTTTAAAAGTAATGTAGGAATAACATTTATATTGTTAGTAATATTTCAAGATGGAAACTTAGGTTTGCTTGATCTTCTATACATAGGCCTTTAACATACAGGGCTTTAGATAATGAAAGTATTGAGTATTTAAATATCGTAAATTGGATATTTCATCTAAAACTGAAAATGTTGTCATTACTTACTCAACCTCAATTTTTCCAAACCTGTATGAGTCTCTTTCTTCCATTGAACACAAAAGAGGAGATTTCGAAGAATAATGGGAACCACACAGTCGACGGCACCCATCGACTTCCGTAGTTGGAAAAAAAAAAAAAAAAAACACTATGGAAGTCAATGGGTGCCATGAACTGTCTGTTGAAAATATCTTCTTCTGTGTTCAACAGAAGAAACTCATATAGTTTTGGAAGAACATGAGGGTGAGAAATGACAAATGTATTTCTTTTTGGGGTGAACTATCACTTTAATACATTATTTGGGAGATATAGAGTGACACGTTTGGTATGCAGTCTGCTACAAATCTCATTGATTTACATTACAATCTTTTTTTATGGATATTTTGATGTTATATCATAATATATTGTATAACAAAGGTTCAATAAAGTGTTCAATTTCAGTTTATTATAAAGTTATGTTGACTATTTCCAGGCTTTAGCTAAATGGTTTCAAGCAAGGATAACTCCTGAGTTCAAATAGGAGATGTAATGAACTTGTATAAATATGCCTTAGAAAAAAAGAAAAAAAAAAAAAAAACACTTTACAGGCATGCATTTTGAGACAAAATGTCATTGTCATATTTTAAGACATGCCAGTGCAAGACAAGTTCCTTTCAGTTAAATGCATTATTTGCATTATACATAAATGCAACAGCTCATGCATTTTAGTCAGTCTGGAACTAAGCGTAAGCCTTTTCTGTGGAACCAGGGATAAATATGCTGAGGTATTATAATAGTTACACAGTTTTCCAGACATGTACCATAGTAAGATCATGGTAATAAAGTGTTTGCGGTCATGTCTCATGGGAATGCCATGGTTTTTGAAACATGTTATATGTCCAGAATCATGTTTTTACCATGATGCACTTAGTTTTTGAGGAAGTTTGGACAAAGTATGAATGATAATCATTCTCAAGTAACGTTACCAAGGTATTACCATCTGATACCAGGACTCCACCATAGTACCACATAAAGGCTATTGTAATAACCTTGACAAAATATGCCATTGAGTAGTTTTGTTTGTTTCTTAATAAACCAAAAGATGGTCAAACATGTTTGCTGTAGTGGAATATTACATTACATTGGACTTATCAGTACTATCAGTAATCTAACCAGATATTTCGTCAACTTGTCAAGGCTGGTTCCTACTAAAATAAATAAATATCAGCCAATTTGCAGTAACGTTAACCCTCCCAGCATTCATTGCTTGCATGGTAAATGAGATAGGAGGATTATGTTGCATGAATGAAAACTTTGACGTAAGCAAGAAACTATAGTATTACCAACTGTTTTAAATTAAACAAACTGGTTAAACACAATATGTTCACAAATGCAGTCTATGTTTTGTCATGCCACGATCATTTAAACGGTCGTGTTATTGATTTTCTAAATACTGCGGCCTGCATCCTGTCAGCGCCTCGGTGTTTCACGAAAATACCTTCCGACGCGGACGCGCTTGCCGCTGGTCTGCTTTATAAATAAAGACTCACTCACCTGCTGATATCTCCCACTTGGCTCAGCCATCCTCAGCGAGCTTGAAAAGATAACGAAAATTCCCGTAAAGGCACAATTCGAGCAACAAACTGTCTAAATTAATTTTTTTAACAAGTTTTTAACAAGCAAAGCCAGAAGACACAACCCTCATCAGATCAGATTTGCCCTAGAGCTTCCTGTGATCTCAGTCAGACGGTTGTGATCTATAGCGCCATCACAGGACAAAACAAGAACAAAACATCCCAAATTATAATACCAAAGCCAGTCTACGAATTAGACTTATATATATAATATTAGTCATATTAGACTTTCTCTGATAATACTCAGAATGTAACATCGAGCTGCCTCTAGCCCACTGACATCGAACGAGAATTTTCAAAAAAGACCTAGGCCAGTTGTATTAAACATAGCATTATGTTAAGACAATTTAGTTTTCGACTATGAACAACTTAAAACTCAATCAAGGGGTTGTCGAGTATTACTTTAGTTTTTAGTACACAATTTGACCCGTATCCAATTTACATTTTATATAACTGACTCAAAACAGTTATGAACAGTCTTTAAAAAATGTGACGACTAACTTTTAAGACTAGTCTTAGCAGTTTAGAGTCTGTAGAGCTGCTTTATTGTGCTTTCTTATCTACTATTTTAGATTATTATTTATTATTAAATATATTATAAAATAGATATTATATTATTTAAAATTATTATAGCCGACTAAGATTTTTCAACGAATCCTAGAGTTTTACATCCACCAACTCAGGCCAGAACTTTTGCTCTGACTAAGACGTGTGCTAGCATACTTATAGCTATTGTATTATTATTTTTATTTTATTTTTTTACCTTAGGCTACCTTTATATGGCAGAAAATGTAAGAACCATAAGCAGATCTGAATTCAGCAAGTGCACTACATTGTTCATTCGCTAATTCTCTATCAACTTAAACACGATCCTATACTGACATCTAGTGGTCTGAAATGTTCAGTTTTACCAAAAAAAAATATATCAACAATTGAATTCTTGAAATTGAATTCTTGACATTGCTACTAGTAGCAATTCAGTATATCAAGAATAGACATTTCAACAAGTGACAATTGAATTCTTGATATCAAAAATAAAGGTTTTTATTAGAATTGTATTTGTGATAAGTGAAATTAGAATTCCAACTATAAGAAATCAATTCTTGATCGCAACATTTGATTTTGAATAGCTGCATGGTCACATTTCACTAGTGAAAATACAATTACAGATATCAAGAATTATAATTTTTACTAGTTGAAATTCAATTGTTGATATCAATTAGCATTGTTACGTAGTCTACTGGAAAGTAATTTCTGATATCAAAAATAGCCATAGTAGAAATATAATTCCTGATATCAATAACTATCATTTTAACTAGTAAAAATGTAATTGTTGATATTAAGAATTAGTATCTTGGAAATGAACAATAGTTAAAACAGCTTGCCGATGAGTGTGATCCTTTACAAAAAATAATGAATTTAGCAACATGCTAACACTTTTACCTCGCCCCATGTCCACTGTCCACAGTCCAATATCACCTGTAGCCCAAGACTGGTTGTCCACTGAAGCTGAGCAGGAATTCATTGAAATATATATATTGAAATATATATTTATTGTAGGCCTATCTATACAGCTATTTGTAGATGTAAGACAAATTGACATTAAGAGCTAATTGAATATCAGAACAGTTTTTTTTTATGCATTTCTTCCAAAACACACTGATGGATCAAGAAGAGATAGTAGATATACTAGATCAGGATTTTATGTTCCAGAATTTTCAATAGAAAAATATGGGAGATTAACAGATGGAGTCTTGTGTGGAAGAAGTGATGCCATGTAAAGTTGTGATATGTTCAGATTCGGTGGCATCACTTATAAGCCTACAAACATCAAACAGTTAGATATGACATCTATATAGAAATACTGAATATTCTGTATAGGTTAAGGCAAGCTGGGACAATAATTAAATTTGTTTGGGTATACCATGCAGCACATGCTGATATAATGAAAGATCTGATCAAAATCGGGTTATTTTAACAAGACTAAGGATGGGACATACACAACTTAATTCTACACTTCACATTATAGGGACACATGGTACAGAATAGCCTATGCTAAGTAAAGGAAGCAGCTGAGCATGTGTTGTGCTAAACAGGAAAGGAATGAGTTAACAAGAGAGCTGCAGGAAATTGGGTGCAAATAATTTATAATCAATAACATATTAAACACAAAACAAGGATCCGGGGAAATTATAAGGTCTGTTTTAAAATTCATTATTTAAGCATAGTGGTTTTAGGACTGAAATCGCTTCACACTCCAACACAGGTGGTGGCGGTATGCGACTCGCCAATAAATCCATAGAAGAAGAAGATTTAAGGAAGTGAGGTCTTCGGTCCTCAGACGTTTCCGGTTAATAACGCGCACAATCGGTATATTCGGGTGGTGCTTTGTTTACTTTATAATTTACTTATTCTTGCAAATAAAACATGTCAAAACTAAAATTAGGACCATGTTGTTCGGTGATTGGATGTTCTCTCAGGGCCGGAACTAACTTGCTTTCGGAAATCAAAACGTTTAGATTTCCGAGAAACCAAAAGAAACGTGAGGCCTGGATTGCGGCAGTGAAGAGGGAGGGCTGGATACCAACGAGCAACTCTAGGATATGTAGCAAACATTTTATCTCTGGTAAGTCTGTTTACATACGTTCACTAACGTTAGTTAACTGTGATGAATCATTGTTTGAGTTAGCTGTGTGGCTCCGTCATTGTTTTCATATGTAACTTATATTATTAAGGGGAATGCGCGTGACGTCACCATCGGACGTCACGGAGTGCCTGCAAAAACTCACAGTGAGTGGCAAAAAGACTGGCTGTATTTGTTTTCAGCGTGAATGAAACAAACACAACACATATACAGTGGGAAAGAGCTAGAGTTCACAGGCAAATTTGCTTTAGCCTATGTTTAGGTCTATATTGCTTTTATTTCACCGGAAATCAGGCAAACATAAATGTCAGGCAACACTAAAACCTGGCTGCATGTCAATATCAATAACCATGGATCACTGGATCTTTTGTAAGTTGTAAGGAACACTATATTGTATTTAGTTTAAAGTTTAAATTTAGTTTAAATTGATAAATTTGTTCGTTTTAGTCGCATTTTCGCAGTTTCCCCTATTTAATCCAGTCACGCAGCAGATCTTTTGCCACTCAGGCTGAGGGGGGTTAATCCGGCGGGAAAGTGACGTCAATGGATTCCCTCCATATGGGCTAGCATGTAAATAGCTAATGTTAGTGTACACTGCAAGTACGTTTGCAGTGAAAAAGCCAGGTTTTTATTTCCATTTCATTTCTAAATGCTGTAATTAGTTGTCTAGCTATCTATTCAGCCAACAGATACACTATATAATGTTTTATTGTGTAACATTAGCTACCTTAACTGCAATATTTCAGAAAAGGTAACGATAAACAACATTATTGCATCATTTATTAAGCTTGTTTAATATTAATTCCAACATGCACTAATGCATTAAACAATAACAGTTTTGTCAAGTTAAATATGAACTACATTTACATTTAATCATTTAGCATATGCTTTAATCCGAAATGATTTCCAAATGAACAGAACATACAAGAAGTCCTAATTAACTTAATTAATCAAAAATAAGTCATATACTTTTATTTAAAAAAGATTTAAAAGCATTTTAAAGTTTTAACCCGATTTTTCCGTAAGCTGGAATTGTTAAACCACAAGCAAGCTGTGCATTATGAACTTGTGAACAATTGTAAATTAATTAATTAGAAATTTAGAATTAATAAAAGCTGTAAAATGTTAATTGTTTATCCATGATATCTAAAATGTATACTAATATTTACAGTGCAGTATGCAGTGGTCAAACTGATAGATAGATAACTAGATTACATTATTAAAAATAGTCTTGGCCTTTGTCAGCATCTATCTTCAACCAGTAATGTGTGAAAGCCATAACCTTTCCCAATAATGTTTTTCTACTTTTGTCTTTAGGAAAGCCATCGGATGACCCTGAAAATCCAGATTACATCCCATCGAAGCTTCCTCCCAGACCTGACCCCTCGGCATCAAAGGTCTCAGTAAAGGACATGGACTTGAATGTAACAGAAGTCAAGTCCTACAAAGATATGCGTGCTGGAAAACATCTCGTTATGAGTGAAATAGAAAATATACTGAAACTGAATAAATCTAACAAAGAGCAAGTGAAAAGCCTACAGTCAGAGGTACTGACTCTCACATGTGAGTGGAAACAACTGAATTCTGATGTGGATTTAAACGATGATCAAATCATTCACTTCTACACTGGCCTTCGCTCATCCAAAATGTTTTTCGCCCTGTTGACTTATCTCACCACTTCTTGGAGCCCGAGCACACAGAGTCCTCCAACACCTCTCCAGTTTTACTTGGTCTTAATGAAACTGAGACTTGGCCTCACTCATAATGATCTTGCTCTCAGGTTTCATTGCACTTGTGCGACAATCTCGGCAATATTTCACGACTGGTTGAACGTAATGACGCAGCGCCTCAGCTCTCTAATTCATTGGCCTTCTAGGGAAGACATTAGGAAGAATCTTCCTGCCCTGTTCAAAAGCGCCCCTTTCAATTCAGTGAGGTGCATCATAGACTGCAGCGAGATTTTCATTGACCATCCAACATCACACAGTGAAGGAGCAATGACGCACTCCAACTTTAATTCCCACGAAACCATCAAATTCCTGATTGCCATCAGTCCGACAGGGTCAATCACGTTCCTTTCCAAGTCTTGGGGCGGGAGAGCCAGTGACGAAACAATCACCAAATCTTCTGGCTTGCTTGATCTTTTGGAAGAGGGAGACATTGTCATGGCCAACAGAGGGTTCAGTTCCCCGGAGTATTTTACAGAGAAAGGAGTCCAGCTCTTCATACCAGCTTCACCCCGTGGAACGACACCGCTTGCCGGACAGGAAGTGTGTGTGTCGCGTCACATGTCAAGGTTGAGGATGCATGTGGAACGGGCTATTTGTCGCATTAAAAAGTACTGCATTTTGCGACAAACACTCCCCATGAACTTGGTGAAGCGAAGACCGAAGGACACCGTGGCAACTGTTGATAAAATTCTGTTGGTTTGCTCTGCGTTATCTAATTTGGACAAGTCATTCATTCAGTAAAAGAAACACAGTAGACAGTAGACATTTCACAAATACATTTTATTTTGTTATTGGTGGCAGGTTTGACACATGAAGTGTTGCACTGTGTGTATCCTTTGTGTATAGAATTTAATTGGATTTGCTTGACCTTTATTATTTCTTTCTAACTATCTACACTTATTAAACATTTTTGTTTAATGAGAACATTTGTTGTCCTGCAATTGATTGAATGCATTTCACAACAAAATATACGATTTTAACAGATCACTTAACAGGCTGTGTATGATTTCGCACTTTTTTAAGCCTACACATCTCAGATGAAGCCCCTTGTGACCCCTTGAGCACTGTGTGACTTGTTTTAGACCTACTTTGACACAAAAAGGGAAGTTTCTGCGATCAGAAATGGTTTCCTCAGTTTGCTTGTGCAAATGTTTGTGAGAATGTGCTCTCTGTAGAAGAGATGCAGTTCTGGTCTGATCTGGGCCCTTCAGAGGACTCTACTTTCTGAGTGTGGCAGTCCCCTGTTGTCCAAATGACAAAGAAATATGTTCTGTCGGCTGTGTACGGACGTTGGTTTTTGCCGTTATTTTGTATTGAAGTCTATGGGGAGTCTAGTTTGTTTCCCCCAAAAGGGGGCGGGGACAAAATTGACAGCTAAGTTCCCGGATGTGCCGGTTGTGCGTATAGCTTTTCGATCGAGGGAACCTATGCGCCGCTAACTTCCGAGTTGTCCTACAAAGTGACGTCAACACTTCGGCACTCTAATAGTCCTGTGCATTGGGTTACCAGTACATGTTCAAGTCTATTCATTTCCACACCCAATCTTATACCAAATTTAGCATTTTAATCAACAAGTTCATTTTTTTGTTAACCTTTTATAATATGTCTTGGAGTATCGCAATAATATCGTCTCATGAGTTAAAAATTGCAGTATTGGGAATAATTTTATACTCATTCATGGAAAAAAATAAGTGCAAGTCAGTGATTCTGATAGTGTTTAGGCCAGCAGAGAAGGCCTTGCTGGCCCTGACGGCCCACCACTGATAAATGAACTAAATTAATAACTTTTTTTACAACAAAAATGAAACATCATTGAACTTTCTTAAAGGTTTAGTTCAACCAAAAATGAAAATTGTGTCAGTATTTAGTTACTCACTCTCATGTTGTTCCAAACCTCTATGTGTTTATTTGGTCTGCTGAACACAAAGGAAGATATTTGGAAGAATGTTTTAATCAAACAGATCTCAATCCCCATTGACTACCATATGTATTTTTTCCTACTATAGTAGTCAATGGGGATTGAGATCTGTTTGATTAAAACATTCTTCCAAATATCTTCCTTTGTGTTCAGCAGAACAAATAAACACATAGAGGTTTGGAACAATATGAGGGTGAGTAAATACTGACAAAATTTTCATTTTTGGGTGAACTAACCCTTTAAGGTGGACTGTGACGCTATTTCCTTCTGGAAACAAACGTTGTAGCATTATTTTCCTGTTATCTCTGTAAAGCTGCTTTTAAACAATCTGTATTTTAAAAAGTGCTATATACATACTGTAAATGTGACTTGAAGTCCCTGCTCTTCAGGCACAGATATTATCTGATTAACCAGTCCCCAAACGCAGGGTTTTCCTAGTGGTGTTATGCCCGATCGGCCCCACCTTGCTGGAAAAAAAAGTACAAGTTCGGTGTTTTACACTTAAACCCCTGTTTTAAGATCGTTTCTGATGAAATTTAACAGTTAAGATTAAGTGGACACGTGCTTTCTCGCCCGAGAATTTTCGATTTCGTGAAACTCACCGATTTGTCTGGGGTGTTCACTGATATGCTCACACAAAAATCGCCACAAAAGATGCTTTCCAACAGGTTTTATTGTAGTTTTTGTCCCAAGTCAAGTCAATGGAGTTGGACAAAAACTACAATAAAACCTCTTTTAACCTAAATGACTTAAATAGGCAGTCTGTTTTGGCGGGCTGAAACGCCTTTTGTGTTTGTTTGTGAGTGTTCCTCATTAGCATCAGTAACTGCTCATTCCCGTCATCTCAGGGAACTAAGGTTACATTGTGGTAACCGAAACGCTTTCCATTCTTTAACACAGAGAGTCGCAAGTGAAGTGTGGGGAGACGTTTATTCAGTTCTTTTAAAAGTGCCCTACATTATGACTTGAGGTAAATCCATATATCATAATGAGAAACGTTTCAGCACAAGACGAACCTCCTTTCAAATATAGATTGATACAATTTCCCTGTGATTTTAACATTTGTTTGTTTTTTTAAACGTAATTATATTTAAGAACACCATGGCACATGGTATAAAAAATACACTGAAATTCCAGGGAAGATCAAAAACCCACAGACCTTTATGAACTGAGTGGTATTTTGAATCACAGTAGAGGTCCTTTTTGCATCGCTAACAATGTCATCGCTTACTGCTATATATATATATATATACTGTACTGGTATGGTTATAGCACTCTGGCTTTTAAAAATCATTCACATATTAAACAAAAAGAACAAACTTATTGCTTTTTTTTAAAACATTCTATAAACCACTTATTCATGTGCAAACTGTCTTGATGACCGTGTGAGTGTGGTTTACTCTTATGGTATATTTGGAGGGGAGATTAGGGAAAGGGACTGGGGTTTTTAGTACACCCATGAGATTGGCACCCACTGTGGGGTCGAGGAGGCTCTCTCGATGGCCTCCTCTACACCCTTAACACTCTCATCTACGTCATTGTTGACGAGCATTTCATCGAAGAAGTGGCGGTATGAACTGAGGATGCCATCAGATTCTTTCTGGATGTTCTGCACTGCCTCTGACTGAAAAGTAGAAAAGCATAGATTAGAAATCTTTAGTCTACAAACATTGCTTTATTATAAACTTCAGGTCGTAAGCATGGATAGGCTTATGGGGTGGGCTTATTGGACCAGAATCACAAAAATCTTCTTAAGAAATAGTTTCTTACCTTTGAGGATTTAAGATAAATTGGAAGTTATCCTAACTTTGGAAAGTTATTTAAGATGGTTTTTAATAGGCCCGTCATGATTCCTCGATTCAATTTGAGTACTTGATTTAAAAAAAATCCCATGTCGATTAACTGGCAAAATACTAGAAGTGGTGCATAAGTTGATTGTTTATATTATATATCGAAATTTGGTATTTTAATTACTTGTTTTTGATACTTTATTTGAACCAACTATTATTGCCTCATGTATTTTAAAGGGATACTCCACTTTTTTTTTTGGAAATAGGCTCATTTTACAACTCCCCCAGAGTTAAACAGTCGAGTTTTACCCTTTTCGAATGTATTCAGCCGATTTTCTGATATTTAGAAGAATATCAGTAACCAGACAGTTTCTGGTCTCATTCAGAAACTGTCTGGTTACTGATATTCTTCTAAATATCAGAAAATCAGCTGAATGGATTTGAAAATGGTAAAACTCGACTGTTTAACTCTGAGTGGAAAAATGAGCCTATTTCCAAAAAAAGTGGAGTATCCCTTTAAGTCATTTATTGGCTATTATTCACTTTTTTCTATTTTTATTACCACAAAAAAAAATATACGCTTACTCGATTAATCATCAAAATCATCAACCCATTACTCTTTTACCAAAATAATCATTAGTGAATATTTTCACAGATTTGTTTTGTCTTGACAATTTGACAATGTTAAGAACACTCTTAAGAAGTATTTTTGGAAATTCGTTTTTAAATGATTTATATTGGAAATACAAAAACAAATGAATTCTTAAAAGGGATGTCAATTTTCACAAATTCCCATGCTCGATCGTCGTTTAAATTAACAATCAATTAATCGATTAATCGTTAGCATTAATGACAAACAGCATTACAGTGTCAATGCTGCTCAAAAAGTGGTCATGTTCCTCACCAAATTAATAAGAATGGTTTTTAATCTAAATAAAGGGTTAGTAGGATTGTAAAATGTTTTGATGTGGTCGATAAATTAACAAATGATTTCATATATAATATACTGACAAATACAATGTGTCACCAACGCTGCCTCAACCATTTAATAAAATAGTGTTCTCATGTTATGTAATATGACAGTCCCAAATTAACCATCATTATTAGTCGTGCATTCTGCTTGAGCGGCACACGCTGAATGAATAACCGTTGAGCACTTTGTTAGTGTTTTTTTAACTCAAAGAAACGCATCCTATTTGATCAGATATACTGTATATACAAAATAAAAATAATATTACAAAATTATATCTGCACAAAATGATGTGAATGCACAAGTTCTCATGTTGTGGTGGCTATTCCTGGAACAATGCGACATGGCATCTAAACCCAAATAATTCACAATGTTTTATAACAATATTGTTCTCTTCATAATCTTGTGTAATATGACAGTCCCAATAGTCATTATTAGTCGTGCATTGTCGTTTGAGATGAGTGCGCTAAAGATCACGTCAATTCTTAACCAAATGCATCCAATATGAGATAAAACAGATATAGATAGGTGTACACAAAATAAACTATTACAACTTACATTTGCACAAAACAAAAGGCTGCGAATGCGAATGTATAGTCATGATGAAGGTGTAAAATAGTCCCAAACAACTCTTCGGAATGTGTGTCATTCAGTGGGACTCAACACTTCACCACACCGGCACGCTTGCTTATGTGTTTCCCGGTTGAGCAGCACGCACGCGCGCGCATGATCCTACTTAATTGATGATCGATAAGATTTATTGATTAAATGTGGTATCGACAATTAATCGATTGTCAAATAATCGTTGACATCCCTAATTCTTAAGAATGTTTTGTGAATCTGGTCCCTGGGGATTAAAGCCTGAATGAATCAGTTTCTAACCTGATTGCCAGTGTTAGTAGGAGCAATGAACATCACAAGAGGAGCAAACTCCGCCGTTCTGAGCACTTTCAGCGTCTGGAAAAACAAAAAGAGTTCAGAAAAGAAATTGACAGTTCATAAAAATAAAGACACCACAATGCTAGGCATCAAGTGCTATGCTTATTTAATATCTGACTCAACAGCGTGGCATTACCTGTGGTTCCACATCCAGCAGAGCAATTTTCCCCTGTGCGTGAATCTTGTTAACAGTTTCGATCTTCGTACCAAACATGTGTCCCTGGTGACTGCCGTATTCAAGTAGCTGATTCCCGACGATACACTTGGTCATTTCATCATTGGAAATAAAGTAATATTCTTTGCCATTCTCCTCGTCCTTCTTTGGAGGTCTAGTGGTGTCTGCAAAGAAAAATTATACTAATGATTCATTATTTTATCACGTTTTTCAGTAGCCTGACGTCGTCATACATAGTCTTATACAGTTCCATTGGGCTGTGTTTATGGGGCGTGTTTCAACCGATCCAGGAAAGAAAATGGCTCTGCACTCAATTAGATCACCTTGATCGCACGGTTCTCTGTTCCTCTTTTAAATGAATGCGCTGTCTATCTACACATCTAAACTCTCCAGCGGCAGCCATTCTTTGTTGTAAACGAATTCAACCCAATCGCTCTTTGGTGACGTGGATGATTACGTTACTGTTGATCATCTGTCCATCATCGTGTAAAGCCCAGCCTGACAATTTGATTGGTCCAAACAGCTTTGGTTCGGGCATACTTGCTTCACAACGGATCCAGACCGACCTTCACATTCTAAAATGTTGCGGGCGGGGCTAAGTTCGGCTGCTATCCAGGGGTGCGTTTCTCGAAAGCATCGTTAGCCAACTATGGTCGCAAGTTCCGTCGTTATCAGCATAGTTCAACGAGTCGGTGTTTCCCGAAACCATCGTTCCAACGGACATTCGCAAACAGCATCGCAAAGTTGGGTGGTTTGAACGACAGCTCTCGACCTGTGGTTAGAGGCATCGTTTCTATATTGCATGACATTTGGAGGTAATAAATCCTTATCTTAAGAAAAATAAGCAGGCTGACATTCAGTACAACTGGTGCCCTTTATTTAGAATACATACAAATGGAATTTATATCTTTTAGTTTTTCAAAAGATTTAAAGTAACGTGTTTGAAGAGTGCGCATGTGCGAACGTGTTCTACTATGTAAGAACGAGCCAAATATTGAGTCTGGTAATAAAGCAAAACAACTGAGAACAATTAGAAATAGTCCTCAGATGACATGTCTGCAATTTATATAAAACAAATCTAGCATTAATTGGATGTCAAACACTCCACAACATGCGAAACCAATGTGGTTGAACGATACTTTGCGACAGTGGGTTTTGGGAAACAGTCGTGACTAGCTAGTTGATTTCTTTAAAGATGCATCGTACTTTGGTAGTTAAACCAACGAGTTGCATCGTTGTACGGGAAACGCACCCCAGGTTAGTTTTTCAGTGATGAATTGTTAAAAAAAAAAAACGATTTAAGCAAAACTCTATAACTTGTTTACATAAAATACATAATAAATGTATATAAATCTTTAAATTATATATCATCTTATTATACAGTAGATCTTATAATCTTATATAGATCTAATTCAGTTTTGTTTCTCAAGTAAAATTGATCTTGTTTGAAGAATGAATGGATACTGGAAAACAAAATAAAACTATAAATTAAGAAAATTATTTTGCAGCAATTTTAAAAGTTGAAAAATCAGCACAATGGAAAGCAAAAACATGTGAACAGCCCCTTAAAATGATAATGATTATTATCATCAAAATGTTGTCATCATTTACTCACCCTCATGTTGTTCCAAACATGTATGAGTTTCTTTCTTCTGTTAAACACTAAAGAAGATATTTCGAAGAATGTTGCCAACCAGACAGTTGGCGGTAGCCATTGACTAACAACTTTAATAGAATTTAAACTATAAAGTAACTCCAGTGTGTTCATTTTTACTCGTGCCTGACCTTGACGGATATGGATTGAGTGAAGAAATGAACCTGAAAAAATTGCAGGGGCCCAGAGCACAACTACCTATTATGTAAATAGTCATGGCTTTGTTTTGGCTAGATTTTGTTCAAAATTATCTCATATCCATTTGTTTTGTGGTTTTGCTTGAAGTACATAAACAATAAAAATAGTGTGGCATGTCAACTTGACGTTATCAATGCCAAACAGCTTTGGAACAATGTGAGGGTGAGTAATAATGACACATTGTTAGGTGAACTACTGTGCTGAAAATTCCGAAATAAACCAGCGTGAAATCAATGTTGCTCCTGGCTTTGTTAGATTTGGCATGATGTTGGTCTAGCTGGTGAACCAAGGGATCAGCAAACCAGAAACCAGAATCTCATGCTGATCCAATTATGCAAACATACCGCATACTGGTGAACACCAATACTGGATTTTTCACTTTGGGAGGCTATATAATTGGTTTATTCTGTTTAAACATTCCTAAAAACTGTTTAAAATGCCTAAATACAGGTGGAAGTCTTTGGAGTTATGTAGCTGGACTGTACATACGTGGTGCTGGGTAGGCAAACTTCTCAGGATATTTGGTCAGCAGGGAATTTTTAATATGGCTCCTTCCAACTCCAGGTGCACCTTTAAACAAGAACAAAACATTAAATAACACATTTTAGCCTGTAAACTTAGCTGCACATTTTCAAATATTAAGCTCCTTTTTGTGGATCTACATGGCAATTTACCCTAATGAAAAAAACTATACCAAAAAAGTATACAACAAATCCATTAACATATTTACTCACATTTCACTTCAGACTTCCTGATATAAATATTATAATTAATATATTGGATTAATCTGAGACGAGTTCAAGAGATTTCCACGACGCATGCGCGAGAATTGCGTTCTTATTCTACTACTTCTTGCGCAATTCTCAAAAAGTATTCTCGTCGCTTGATAAACTTATAGTTGAGCCACTGTAGTCACATGGAATATTTAAACATTTTCTTCAATGACTTTTTGGGCCATCAAGTTTCAATCCCTTAGGGAGTGTCATGATTCTGCCATCAAGTCTTTGATTTTCTCTAGTCGTGGGGCAGGATCATGACAGAAACATGTTTTGTGTGCACAAGGCCATGCGCTTGTGTTCTCTCTATAATCTCCTTGTGTTTGCTGTCCTGGGTCTGTTCATTGTGTGACGTTGAGTGATTCTAGCAGTGAGTAATTCATTGAGAAAACTGTTATCCAAGAGTCTGTTCGTGTCTTAGTATTGTTCCTGTCTTAATCTCAGTCTTAGTCTAGTGTTTGCTTTCCTGTCTTGTTTTGCCCCATCGTGGGTTTTGTTTTTCTGTTTTCATTGTCAATAAACCTTGTTGAGTGTTACATACTGTCTGCTATTGGGTCCATCCTTCTACCACATGACAGGGAGCCTATGTAGCAGTGATCCACCTCTCAAATTTAATCAAAAATATCTTCATTTGTGTTCCGAAGATGACCGAAGGTCTTACGGGGTTGGTACAGCATGGGGGTGAGTAATTAATGACTTAATTTTTGGGTGAACTAACCCTTTAAATACATTTTGGTAGATAATTTTATAGGGTATATTTTATAAATATTTTCTTTTTAACATGTCCAGGGATTCAGAAGCTGAAATCATCATAGTATGGCAAGCTATAAAGCATATACACTCACCGGCCACTTTATTAGGTACACCTGTCCAACTGCTCGTTAACACTTAATTTCTAAGCAGCCAATCACATGGCGGCAACTCAGTGCATTTAGGCATGTAGACATGGTCAAGACAATCTCCTGCAGTTCAAACCGAGCATCAGTATGGGGAAGAAAGGTGATTTGAGTGACTTTGAACGTGGCATGATTGTTGGTGCCAGAAGGGCTGGTCTGAGTATTTCAGAAACTGCTAATCTACTGGGATTTTCACGCACAACCATCTCTAGGGTTTACAGAGAATGGTCCGAAAAAGAAAAAAACATCCAGTGAGCGGCAGTTCTGTGGGCGGAAATGCCTTGTTGATGCCAGAGGTCAGAGGAGAATGGCCAGACTGGTTCGAGCTGATAGAAGGGCAACAGTGACTCAAATAACCACCCGTTACAACCAAGGTGGGCAGAAGAGCATCTCTGAACGCACAGTACGTCGAACTTTGAGGCAGATGGGCTACAGCAGCAGAAGACCACACCGGGTGCCACTCCTTTCAGCTAAGAACAGGAAACTGAGGCTACAATTTGCACAAGCTCATCGAAATTGGACAATAGAAGATTGGAAAAACGTTGCCTGGTCTCATGAGTCTCGATTTCTGCTGCGACATTCGGATGGTAGGGTCAGAATTTGGCGTCTACAACATGAAAGCATGGATCCATCCTGCCTTGTATCAACGGTTCAGGCTGGTGGTGGTGGTGTCATGGTGTGGGGAATATTTTCTTGGCACTCTTTGGGCCCCTTGGTACCAATTGAGCATCGTTGCAACGCCACAGCCTACCTGAGTATTGTTGCTGACCATGTCCATCCCTTTATGACCACAATGTACCCAACTTCTGATGGCTACTTTCAGCAGGATAATACGCCATGTCATAAAGCTGGAATCATCTCAGACTGGTTTCTTGAACATGACAATGAGTTCGCTGTACTCAAATGGCCTCCACAGTCACCAGATCTCAATCCAATAGAGCATCTTTGGGATGTGGTGGAAGGGGAGATTCGCATCATGGATGTGCAGCCGACAAATCTGCGGCAACTGTGTGATGCCATCATGTCAATATGGACCAAACTCCCTGAGGAATGCTTCCAGCACCTTGTTGAATCTATGCCACGAAGAATTGAGGCAGTTCTGAAGGCAAAAGGGGGTCCAACCCTTTACTAACATGGGGTACCTAATAAAGTGGCCGGTGAGTGTATATCATATATATTTCTGCATTCCCGTTTCCTCCAACAGCAAAGAAAAAAGAAAATAAATAAAAACAGCGCATCGATGCCTTTCCGAAAAAAAGGAACAATATCAAACACTCACATAGCAGCATTAACAATTTGTTCTGGAATTAAGTTTTTTTTTTAATGTAATTTTATAACACTATACTTTGAGTTAGATTTACAATGTTAATAACTGTGCAGACACGTCTGTGAAAAGAGTCCACGATGATATGTACTCCCATAACGTCTGTTTGCTTTGTGCTCTAGTTTAGGTTTTTTCCTGCCTGTCCGCCTGTCTCAGTGCTTTGAGTTGGTTGTCATGGTTACTGGTTTAGTTACACACCTGTTCTGAGTTTCTTTGATTATCTACCTGTGTATTTAAGCCCTGTGATCGTTCTGTTCATTGTCCAATCTCATCTTAGTTGGGTGTTCCGGTCATGTTTTTGATCTAGAGTTGGAAAATAAATGAACTTCTGCGATTAAATCTAGTGTTTTATTCTACCCTGCTGCAAAACCACCCATAAATCGTCCATTACCAAGAATTCCTTGCTGATCTAAGCTGTGTCAAAGGAGACGGAGCCACAATATTTAAAGTGAATAGGGTATGATGATGCTTACCGATCAGAACCAGAGTTTTCCGGATGAATGCAGGAAGTCTCACCACTTCTTCATAGGATATTACATCAAGCTGGTCAAAGACTAAGGAAGAAAAATATCATCAGTTAAAGCTTGACAAGGCCTGTTTCTATAAGACCAGACTCATGTTGTTGCTTTAACTCAAACACCATTAGAGCTGTGTAACAGCAGGGTTCCAGACTGCGACCAAATTGATCACATGTGCGACCATTTTTTGAGAATGTGCGAGTTAATTTTATGTGGACGCTCGCGCAGCAAAACGCCGTTGTATCAGCTGCTGTAGTCCGTAACTTATGATCAAAATGAACGAGTAGGCTACATCATGAATATATTTCCGAACCGTGTTTTTTACTTATCCTGAATCACTACGGTACACCTATAATAAGTGTTTATATTCGGACTATTTTATCCCGGGTTCGACTCGGATACAGAGTTGCCCAGTGCCTACATGACTCGACATAGACATTAATAGAGAGAAGTAGCTCCGGCTACAGTGTTCGTCCGCAAGACACGTGCAGTTTATTTTTTGACGAATGTAGACATCACGCGCATTGCACATGAGGGTGAAACATGCCAATTACGAATTCACGAATTATTGTCTCAGGAAACAGCGTCTTTTTAGCGGTTAGTTGAGAGTAATCGCTCGACTGAGGAAAAGGAAATTATTATAAAATGCAGAAGGTAAGGAGTGTGAGATTTCTGATTTTATGAACTTTGATAACAAAAAATCTGTATTAGCTTATTATAATACTCTAATCTTTTAAAATTTAATGCATCCATTTGAATGTTTAATCATTTTTAAAAGATAGAAAGACAATGCTGATAGAAAGATGATAACTGATAGATAAGTACAGTACAGTACACAGCTGTTACATTATACATACAGTATTTTATGATTCAAATGTAAATAGATTGTACATGATTCAAATGTAAAATGCTTAAAATTACCGTCCAAAATCCATGAAAATCCTGAAATTTGGCAATGATAATTAACATATTACAGGTATTTATGCTGCAACCCAGAAAGCCTTTGCTAGCTTTGGTCCATTAAAACCACTATTCATCAGCATGCATTGATTAATCCCATTGCATGTAGCAAAAAAGAAAAAGAAAAGAAGGTGCGACCAAATCAAAAGGTGGTGCGACCAACTGAGAAAGCTGGTAGCACCAGTGCAACCAGTGGAAAAGTTAGTCTGGAGCCCTGAACAGACATAAAATAGTTATTGGGAGATGGCATTGGAGAATAACTCATCATTGTGAAATCAAATTTACATTAGTAAAGGTGTCTGCCACCTTTATATCCAAAAAGAAAATGAATCTACATGGAATGGAACACAAATCTAGTGTGCTGATTATCAACAGCTTAAATCACCCGCATTTACTGCATTTTCAAAGAATAGTTAAGTAGTTTGCGCTAGGATTTTATATTGCTTTATAAAAGCCTATTTTTCAAAAGCGTGTTATAAAAGCATTTTTTCAAAATAATAATAATGCGAAACAAGCCATAGAAATGATAAAGAGGTGAGCTTTACTAACTTGAGCTGTGTTTGGCCAGATATTTGTCTTTGCATTTCTTCTTCTTGCCAAAAGGACTGCAGGACTGTCCGGCTTCCCGTGTCGCTTTGCTTTTGCTTGCTACTCGCCTGAAGAAACATCAGCAATGTTTGGAGATCTTAAATGTACATCACTAATCACAGTCATCAAATACAGGAAAAGAATTCAGGTCAGAACGCACCATTCCTGAAGTTCTGGAGAAGGGATGAGTCCTGCAAAGTCTGTGGAGGAGCTGTCCACCTTTCCTTGCCACCAGTTTGGATCTTTCTTATTGATGATATGAATGATGTCACCCGTTTGGAATTTCAGTCCGGCTTCTTTGCAAGGGATCAGGTCATCTTTGGCAGGGTCATAGTCAAACTGTGCTCTCATATACATCTGCGAAAACATTACCCGGAAAACATTACTCTCGTAAAACCATCACAAGTGCTTCATAAAGATGATTTAGCCAATCAGTGCCTTCCAATTTTAGTGGTCTGTTTCTCCAGGGTCAATGAATCCAGGAACATGTCCTATTGTGTGCATCATGTTGTGTATATAAACATCATCCAGTTGTATGATCCACTTTAATTTAAGTTGAAGCTACAGTATAACTAGCATCTTCAAAAAAAATAATTAAATAGGTAAGTTTCCCCCTATGTAATGCATTCATTTTTGGATAAACTATTTGCTTAATTTAATTGCCATATATCAGCAGTCAAAGTTTGGAATAATTCAGATTTTTGTGCTCATCAAGGCTGCATTTATTGGATCAAAAATACAGAAAAATAGCAACATTGTTACAAAAAGCAAATGTTATTAAAATTTAAAAACTGTTTTCTATTTTAATATATTTCGTTATTTATGCCTGTGATTTACTCCAGTCTTTATTATCACATGATCCTTCAGAAATCATTCTAAAATGCTGATTTTATATATAAGATACACATACAGATAGATAGATAGATAGATAGATAGATAGATAGATAGATAGATAGATAGATAGATAGATAGATAGATTTGAGTGACAAAATCTACAGCTAGTGCCAGTAGAATCTAAAACAGATAAGCAAAACTCTAGAACTAGATGTTCTGACATAAACGTAGCACAATGGTTATAGTATATGGTGAAAGAGGATTTAGAAAACTGCCAAAGCTCATCACAACGTCAAACAATGTTTCACAATCAACTGCAGTGCAGTTTGACGCTGTGTGACCAGAAGATGGCAGAGGAGGGTTTGAAGTTACTTCATCTAATGAGAAAAGTAAGTGTGCAGTTATCTGCTATTGATGCTTAAATAGTCACCTGTGTCTTTCATTGGTTTCCCATTCCCATGATAAACCCCACACCTTAATTTAATCAAGGATACAGAATAGACAAAGAAAGAAGTGATCAAATCACATTTGAGCGCATATTTACAGATCAAAGGGTAAAGCGAGATGAGTAGATTGTGATCATAATAACAATAAGAAAATAATAATAAAATGAAGCAAGAAACAGGTATGATGTGGGATTGAATTAGCCTCTGTTTTACTCACCTCACATGCCATATGGCGACTTTGCTGATTGGGGATGATTTTCAATGTGACAACACCGTTTGTGTCTTTCTGTAATGTTAAAAAACATCCAACAACATAAAATAAAGAGTAACATAATTACAAATATCATCTCTGAGTGTCAATTCTTCTTAAAAACTGCACGAAATGTGCCAGTGTTGGGGAAGCTGCTTTGAAACTGTAGCTAGACAAGCAACAAGCAAATCACAGTTTAAACTTAATCTTTTAATAAAGTATTTACACAACAAGTTACTAACAGCAATTTACATTGATGCTTTCTTTGCTCAGTTTCAAAGAAAATTCTAATTACTGAAATGCAAAAAAACATTTTTTTCTTAGGTATGTATACAGTAATATATATACCGTATATATATATAAAACTGTACTTGCCGACAACAGTATCAATCAAATAAAAGGCCACTGAATACGTTTCTTAACACACTCAAGTACCCTTGTATTTTTATATCAAAATAAATTTTACTTTAAAGTTACAATAACATGCAATTAAGTGTACGAAGACATTACATTCAGTTTCCCCTTTAGAATTTTATTTTTCAAATGTGTTATTTCTGTAATAAGCACACTTTTTAAAGTAAATGTTAAAGTGCACTTCTCAGTGTGCAGACACAACAACCCACCAGAATCTTCTGCAGTTGGTCTACACTTTCATTAGCAATACTTTTCCCATTGATCTCTGCGATTTCATCACCTTCATGTAAAGAACCTGTTTAAAAAAAGAGAGAGAGTTAAGCAGTTATCCATTGTCCTCTACGAAAACTAGGGATGTCCCGATCAAGTTTTTTTGTGTCCCCGATCTGATCCGGGTCATTGAATATTGAGTATCTGCCGATACCAATCCGATACTTGTATTTTCCTAATTGTTTGGTTAAATTTATATATATATATATATGTTTGCTGCACAATATTTGACAAGAAGGGTACACATTGCAGATATTTTAGTTAGTTACAGCTTGTTAGATCTAGCTTTCTGCCCGCTTTGAATCAGACATTTATTAAAATGAATGAATTATAACATTTATTTGAATTCTTTATCAAGATAGAGGGGGAGGGGGGTGTAAATTACCTGTGTCTGTTCAGCATCTCTCTTGAGTCTTTATAAACAATGAAGCTGTGAGTTTAATTACTTCAAAACCAGAGATGTTACCCCTTCGTTAGAAATATGACTTAGTGATTCAGTAGCGAAGCTATTTTAGTGCTAAAAGCTGTGGGTAAGCATTGATAAGTTTCTGACGCGCTAGAACAGATCTCATTGATTCTATTTCTATTGAGCTGCTGCTTTTAACGGTAGTTGGAAATTTCAAACTCACTTGAAGGTTCATACCGCCACCTACTGCACGACACCTGCGTAACAGCAGACATAAAATAAAGGATCAGGCTTAGGATAGTCCACTCCAGGGTTCCCAAAACTCGGTTCCGGAGGGCCACTGTCCCTGGAGAGTCTAGCTCCAACCCTGATCAAACACACCAACCTGTGAGTTTCTACTGATCCCGAAGACCAGAGGCTTGTTCGATTTCATGCAGCTCTGCGCAGACCGATCGGCGGCTGACTTGAAACAGTGCATGCTGGTTAGAAATTTTGTCCGACTTGATGCAGCGCTAACTCCACGTGACTGTGATGTATGCCATCAAAGTACCGCAAGAGCGATACGAGAACAGCCGGAGGACTCAGCTTCTCAAGAGCGGCTGCACGAGCTCTGATGATGTCACAGCTGTTCCACGATTCGCCGGATTCAAAGCATTACGTGCGTTTCGTGTTTATTCTCACACATTTAGTTCCACTAAAGCTCACAAATCAGTTTTTTATAACAGTACAGTCTTTTCATGTAGCCGCGATGTTATATTGTGTCATGTTTATCATGTTTATCAAAATAAAACTGATTAAAAAACGTTGACTCCACGTCATTGATTATAGGCTTATTTTGAACTATTCTAGTTCAAACAGATGCTCTATAAAGCAGTGTTGAATGAAAATGTGTCTGAAATATCTGTTTATTTGGCAAATGTTGCATTTATTTCACTTAAGCTGTGGTAAAGCATGCAAACACCACGTGAGCGGTCACAACAGGAACTAGAAATTGTCCGACTTCACGTCTCCGTTTGCAGCTCCTCCCCGCCTGCACACGGCTATTCTCGCCGATCGGTTGCATCTATCGAATTAATTTTGAGCCAATAAAAATGAACGTAACTTTTCAAGAAACGAATGAAAATATAAATTGAAACTGAATAAAATATCTTTGAAACTGAAAAAGAATGAACCGCAAGCAATTTTTTTGACTTTGTTTTTAATAGACTACATGTTTTGCTAACTATTCCTCATATTTCGTTTACTGATCTACACTTACAAATGCGCTTCCAGAGTTTTCATTTACGCTTCTGAAGTTTTCGTTTACACTCCCTGAGTTTGCGTTCGCTGTTCTGACACAAATCTCTCGTGGGGGCGGGGCTAGTAGAAGTGTATTCTCATTGGCTACTGAGTTTTTGATTGACAGCTTCTTGACCTGGAAGTGAAGACGTCAGAGTGTTGTGTTTACACGTTTGGATGTGAGCGTCTGTAAGCGTAGCTTTCTATTTCATTTAGGTGATATTAAGTTTATTTCTTTATTTATTTACTGCTACACTATATTGTTGATATGATTTCTTATAGAAGGAATAGTACAGACAAATGATATAATTTGTCATCGTCGATATCAGAATACTGGATAGCATAGGCTACTCGTGGTAAGTCTGATTGTTTTTATTTTTTTTATTAATTAATACTAAACTAATACTAATTATAATACAGTTCTTGCTTTTTCAGGTGGAGAGGCATATTAGAGCTCAGTGAGAGCCCATAACATTATACAGCAGTGTTGTCTTGATTTAATTGGTAAGTTGTTAGCCCAATCATTACATGTCTTGTTTATCTAACGTTACATACGGTTACAGTCTTCGATTAGATCATATTTGCTTCAATTAGATCATATTTCCCCTCTGCCACCCCAAACAACATTGTGCTAGAGTACTGTACAGTATCTGTACTGTAGCCTAAAGTACAAAATGTACTGTATCAGACAATGACCGATGCCATTGGACCAGAGCCCTGTCAATCACTGCCCGGTTCAACTTTGGCAATGTAAAGCCAATTGCTGATTAATTTGTGATGCAGAGTTTTTAAAAGAAGAGAGAGAGTACTTGACCATTTTCCACATCTCCATTCATAATATGTAAACACTCATTTGTTTTGAAGTATAACCCTGGGTGCAATATTTATTCTGCAAAAGGCAACAAAATGCTTTTTCTGTATCCAGATTTTAGTAATAATTATGTTAAAAAAAAACAACATTTTGGAGAAAAATGTTGAATTTTTAATAGTCTTTAATAATTTATATATATATATATATATATATATATATATATATATATCCAAATTCAAAACCTAATACATGCAAGTAATTATGACTGAAAAAATCCAGCAACTAGGGAGTAGACGCTACACAGCCATGGATAAATGTTTATTGGGCTATACAGCCATCTACTGGTTATACAATAGTATTACAGATGATAAATGGTGTGTGAGTCAGGTAAACATTTGGTACTGTAAAATCCCTTAAAACATTTATAGAATTTGTTTGAAATAATTATTTTAAGTCTGCAAATGGTTACTGCATGTGGGAGTTCAAAGCAGTTTGTATTGTTAGATTATAATATATTTCCTTTCTCATTTTCCAGGGATTTGTGCAACTTTTCCACAAACAAAATTCTGATGCTGACACAGAGGATGGAGTGATAATACCAGAGATCAGCTGTCTCCATCAGACAATAATGTTACTTTGTTCAGACATATCACCTTTGAATGACTGGGATCCTTATCTTCAGACACCTGTTGTATTTTATTTTAATATTATAAAATAGCAAATATTTTAATTTCTTTGGAGCTCTAGATTAAAACAAACACAGTACACAAGAGGTTGCAGTTTATTCTTATTAGTCTCTGCTGATCATGGATTAGCATACCAACAGCATATGAATGGAATAGTTCATCCAAAAATAAAATTCTCACTTATTTTACTCACCCTCATGCTGTCCCAGATGCATTTTACTTTCTTTCTACAGATAAATACGAATTAAGATTTTAAGGAAAGTAATCCATCTCTGCAAGCCCTAAAGATGCTTTAAAAACCACACACAGTGACCGTGATGTCCATGTGACCTCAGTGGATGAATCAATACTGAAGTGAAACAATAGAATAAAAATAAATAAATACTAATAATGTAAACTGTTTTAACTATTAAAAATCATTTCCGACCAACTGCCATACATGGGTACAATCCACTTGTGTTATGTGGACTCACAGAGATGTATTATTTCATTAAAAATCTTTGTGATTATACATTTTATTATCTATATTATGAGAATACTGTGCATTACATGTATAGACCATTTCACAAGATGTAAACAACACTGGTCCAGAAGCACTTCCTGTTTCAGTTTTTTAACACTACATAAAAGCTGGGATAAAATACAACCAACAGAACATTTAAAACTGAATCAAAAAGTTAAACAAACATCTTTAAGATGTTTTCTTCACATGTGAAATAAAGAAAACAGTTACAAACTGAAACAGGAAGTGCTTCTGGACCAGTGTTGTTTACATCTTGTGAAATGGTCTATAGTATGCAGTTAATGTTTTGTGGATTCTGGTCTTTCCTGTCATAACTGCATCCAAGACTTTCACTTTGGTACTTGTGTATATGCTGTAGTGACAATAAAGAATGAATAAATTTATTAGATTTTTTTTATTTAAATTCATTTAACTGATTTTATAAGTCATAATTGAACCTGTTGATGATTGTTCAAATATATTTACCATTTTAAATGTTAGAAAATAATATTAACAAAATGAAATAAATAAAATTATCAGCATGATTAAAAAAATACCAACAAAAATATTCTTTGTGTGAAATATGTAATGAAATGCCCTTTGAGGTCTGTATCCTCTGACAGCAACCCACGATTGTAATTTTCATATAGTTTAAATTCCTCTTATTTAAGTGATCATACATGATCATTTGATGGTGTAAATGCATATGGTAACAATGAGAAATTTGATGGCCATGGTTGCCAATCTTGATTAACTGGTTGAAGTGAAACTTTCTTGACTGCTGAATATATCACACACGTATACTAGTAGGCTATTCTCTTTATATTGTAATAGCACAACCTATTCAAAACCTAACATGCAAACGAATCATCAAGAATAAACAAATATTCTCCTAAAACATTGGACAAAATATTTTAAGTAGTCACATACAGTGGGCGTACTTTGATGTACAATTACACCTGAATAGACTGATCTCTTGTGAACCTAAAAGCTTCTGTTGACAAAGTAATCGCAGCAGAAGGTAAATACAGATAAAATTAAAAAACAAACATAACTTAATATTACTAAAATTAAATAGAAAGCTGCGCTTACAGACGCTCACATCCACACGTGTAAACACAACTCTGACGTCTTCACTTCCAGGTCAAGAAGCTGTCAATCAAAAACTCAGTAGCCAATGAGAATACACTTCTACTAGCCCCGCCCCCACGAGAGATTTGTGTCAGAACAGCGAACGCAAACTCAGGGAGTGTAAACGAAAACTTCAGAAGCGTAAATGAAAACTCTGGAAGCGCATTTGTAAGTGTAGATCAGTAAACGAAATATGAGGAATAGTTAGCAAAACATGTAGTGTATTAAAAACAAAGTCAAAAAAATTGCTTGCGGTTCATTCTTTTTCAGTTTCAAAGATATTTTATTCAGTTTCAATTTATATTTTCATTCGTTTCTTGAAAAGTTACGTTCATTTTTATTGGCTCAAAATTAATTCGATATGCATCCAGCCGCAGGCGATGTCGAACACACCTCTTGATTAGCTTGCTCAGGTGTGTTTGATCAAGGCAAGGCAAGGAAAGTTTATTTATATAGCACATTTCATACACATAGTGGAAATTCAAAGTGCTTTACATGGAAGAAATTAAAATAATCAATAGAAGTCAGAATAATTAAAACAGTTTAGAATAAAAAAATCATAATAATAAAAATAAAATACAGTGTCGAAAATAAAATGTATAGTACAGTCGGACGAACAGTGGCACAGTCCTCATTCAGTAAATGCAATCAATATAAATAAAAACAGTTAAGAGTAAAAATAAAATAAAATAAAGTAATACCCGTATCTGAGATGGAAGAGATGGAGCTGGTTTACGGTGCTACTGGGCCTCCAGCAGTAACTTCAGGGTCATCAAACACACCTGAGCAAGCTAATCAAGGTCTTCGGGATCAGTAGAAACTCACAGGTAGGTGTGTTTGATCAGGGTTGGAGCTAAACTTTGCAGGGACAGTGGCCCTCCAGGACCGAGTTTGGGGAACCCTGGTCTACTCTATATAATCGGTAAAAAAAATCCCTGCTTAATCGCACCAATACCGTTCCTTGAGATCGGCTCGGGACATCCCTTATGAAAAACTGCATAATTGTACACAAACAAACCAAGAATGCACTGTACCTTGTCTGTGTATCATCCCTCCATGCAATATTCTGGCCACTGTACACCTCTGCTTTTCATTCAGCTTAAGAGTTACACCCTGAATAGACACAGAACACAATATTACACTTCTGCTGTTTAGAGACTCCTTGTCCATTGAAGAAATATCAGCATACAAGTATGGAACAACATAAGTAAATAATAACAGAATTAATCTTTGAAGAGAATTCAAAGTTTAATGCGTTTCATTTTGTAAATACAAAATACATGAAACGCATGAAAATAAAAGCTATAATACCAGTGGCTCAGAGGGGTTCTTCTCAAAGGCCACTTCTCTCATCTTGGTTACGTCTTTGCCGTTCATGTGGCCCGCGCTGCCGTTGGTGAAGACTTCCTGTCCTTTGTTGTCATATGTCTGCATGGCGGCCTGGGAATGCAAACATGGAGCACATTAAGCTGTGTATTACAGGAACCAAACCTTTGAGATCCTAATAATTAGCTTCGTCTTTGCTGAATCCATGTCTCTGTGGCGAGATTTAGGGAACAGGATTCATACAGATTCTGTAAAATGAATTTCAAGCACTATTTTTTGGGACTTCAAGGACTTCAATCCGCACTTATCAAACACTATTGTTATTATTTTTATTAATTAATTAATTAATTTATTACTCAAATTACATCTGATGTTTCACTTCAGAGATCAATCCATTGACCAGCGCTGTCAGGCATGGGAAATCCCCTTCACCATTGAAAGGATATATAATTTTTCCATGAATATGGTTATGAAAAATATGATTGACCTGAAGAATGAAAGTTGTATTATATACTAATCATAAATTTAATATCATGTTCATAGCCATGTGAAATAGCTCTATAGACCATTTCACAAGATGTAAACAACACTGGTCCAGAAGCACTTCCTGTTTCAGTTTGTAACTGTTTTCTTTATTTCACATGTAAAGAAAACATCTTAAAGATGTTTGTTTAACTTTTTGATTCAGTTTTAAATGTTCTGTTGGTTGTATTTTATCCCAGCTTTTATGTAGTGTTAAAAAACTGAAACAGGAAGTGCTTCTGGACCAGTGTTGTTTACATCTTGTGAAATGGTCTATATCTCAGATGGATTTCAGCGTTAATTTTGCGTGAAATTATTGTATTTTCTCTAAAATATGCAAGCACTTTTCAAGCTCCTCTTCAAAAATATGGCTATTTTCAAGGATTTTCCAGGACTTAAATTTAAGTCAAATTCAAGCACCTTGTCCAAACCCTGAAGGAAGGAACCATAACATACATGTACTTAGTATTGTAATAACAACATATTATTCATAATTACATGCAACTATCAATAATCCTGACCCTATAGTGAGTATATATTGTTCATTAATATTACTCAATACTTAAATGTATGATTATACTGTAAAAAGGACACCTTAAAATAAAGTGTGACCAAACATATATACACACTTTTTCTAGGCATAAAATAAAGTGGTATGATGGAGGAGAATTAAGGAGTCATTGTGGACATCTGTCCTGGGTTAACGATTAAACGGTCACATCTTAACACTTCATTAAATCCTGCAATGCTGGGAACAGGTTGGCATGGTTATGTTGTCTGATGAGGGGGCTTGATTTCAACTAGCATGACTAAACAAAATTCATCACAACTTTATCACAACCTTCTATAGGGCTCTGTTATTAATATGTTAAATAGAGACATATATATATATATATATATATATATATATATATATATATATATATGACCAGTTCAGATGCAAAAGCCTCTAAGTGCCATTTGAAATTTTCTTCTAGAATGATCATTTTTATCAAGCTTGTATATTTAAATTCAGTGATTTCACTTAAATGGCAATGATGATTACCTATTAATTGTTATTTAAGTGAAATTACTGAACTTAAATATACAAGTTTGATAAAAATCATCATTAAAAAAGAAAATTTCAAATGGCATTTAGAGGCTTTTGCATCTGAACTCTTCATATATATACACACACAACTTTTCATTAGAGGACAATTTATTTTCATTCTGATATAAACACTCAATTCACATAAGAGTAAAATGGTAAATGGACTGGATTTATCGCTTCCATAGACCCAATGGCCACCAAAGCGCTTTACATTTTGCCTCACATTCACCCGTTCACTCGCTCATTCATTCACCGACGGCGGTGTCAGCCATGCAAGGCGCCATCCAGCTCGGTTTAGCAGCAGGGTTTAGGTGTCTTGCTCATGGACACCTCGACACTTGGTCAGGTGGAACCAGGGATTGAGCCACTGCTGCCCCTTTGTCGCAAACTTTACATAAGAGTAAAGTTGCAAACCAACGTTAAATTTGTTACAAATATACATTACATTGACTATAATCATCTCTGTATTTACCTTTATGCTGGATAGTCAGGTTTTTAACAAACTAGCCTGTTTTTAGGTAACTGCCACAGAAAATGACCAGTCCATTACCTAACGTTGGGATCAAGTTACTCAAGTTCATTAAAATCACAAACGTGATCCATTTGGTGAAGTCCCAATATTATGTGACTATTAGAAAAGGATGAATTCATTTATGCCAGTGGGGAAATGAAGAGTAAAAAGAATACTACTTCTTCCTCTTAACTGCCTAATATGCTGTCTGAGAAGATGCTTACAATTAAAAAGTGTGTTTTTCATTTTGTTTCTAATATTGTATTTTAATCAAGTTTTTTGTTTACTCTTATACACTACATTAATGAAAAGAACATTTATTTACTTAATTACAAGCGCATACACTATGAAAACAATCTGAAAAGAACATATGCAATAAACGAATGACTTTATTTTCAATTCACCCATTTATTAAAAACCAGACACCTAAACCTGCTAAATAAAATACCACACAGGGATGAATGACATCTCTTTCTTTCCATGGACTACTATTCATACCCATGTGATTGTGAATGCAATAGACTGGAAATGCACTATTGTGCGAAACGTTCAAGTTTGGTGAACTCTGACCAGCATGAAGATGTGCGACCAAAAGAAGAACAAGACATCTCAGCGTGATCTAACACTGTGTCTACACAGGACGCGACAGTTGTTGAGTCAGCTTGAGGCTGTCTACACTGGATGAGACAAAGCAGCCGTTGCAAATCCATTTGTTCTTCGTGTCGATAGTAGCGCGGCCGCTTAAAGCCTTGTTCACACTATATGATTTTAAAACGTCGGGCTGAACTAGATGACTTGCTCTCAATGAAATCAGGAGTGTTCAAGTTGCTTAGCTGTTCACACCACACAACACAACGTGATTGATCCGCAACAGGAGGTAACGCACTACACGAGTTGACAACGCGCTACATAGAGAGATACAACCACGATCGGATGATAAGAGCAAATCATTTGTGACTCTAAGAGCTGTTTCAGTACTATGTTACAGTGTAAATACTGAAAATAATTAAATAAATAATGAGTTGACAACAACTCTGTCACCCAACGATTCTATCTTTTCTACAAACCATGTTTTGTCACGAAAAATCACGGGATTAAACAAACCAGAAATGATGCGAAACAGCATGTGCGCCAACACCCAGCGGAGAAGAGAAGAACACAACACGCCAATATGGACGTCAGAAAATAGTGCTGCAAACTGTTTGCGCGATGATGAAAAGGAAAAATTGGCTGTAGCTCATGACATCACTGAGGTTGAGTCGTGCAACAGCTCTGGATATCTAGCATGCTAGATATTTTTATGGGCTCGGTGAGGCGTCTTCGCTGCGTTGTTGGCGCTTTCATACTAATGGATTGGCAAGCGTTCATCGCCCGCTAATCCCCCGCAATTTGCAATTTGTGATAACACCCTGACCTGTCGGTGAGCTCAACAATTTGCAAATCAGGCTTAAAATCATGTAGTGTGAACTTGGCTTAAAGTACATCAGAAAGAGAATGGGGCATCAGTTCAGCATCGGGTATTTGTTGTGCCGTGCCAGATCCAGTGTAGACAGCATCACTGATTATAATGGGTTCTATTTGCTTTTGCCATGTCGTGCCGCTTGCATCTGGTGTAAACACGGTGTTAGCTGAATAACAACTTTTTGTATTGCAGGAAAGTGGAGTAGATTGTGGTTTTACATCTTGTATTTATTTTTTGTTTTAGAATTTATGCTTTTACAAAAGACACCACAGATCATGACATCATATCGCATATCTCAGTGTCAGAAGTGCTCAAAGTTTAGTGTGACCGAAGCTCTAGGCCTAATTTTTTTCTTTTTTTTTCTCAAGCACATTAAGACAAATGCGTTTAGTTACAAAAGCATGATTTTATGCTTAATATGTTGCATTCTCAGTAAAAAAAAATTGTTTATGGACAGTTTTATTTCTGTAATTATTTATTGTTCAGGACTATGGTAAAACCATTTCTGGTAACCTGCCCTCAAGCATTATTTTTTTTAGCAAAATGATCTCACAGAGATGCTCTGTTATTCGATCATCTGCTTTCACAGACACAACAGTGGATCTAGGGGGCAGCAGTCAGTCATTTTAATGATACTATGAAGACATGCATAAAAATGCTATGTCTTACTTTTACAACCCTTAAAGCAGAGATATAAGAAAAGCTCTTACATGCTGAATATCAACAGTGACCCAAGCTCAGGGCAAAGTTTACACCACATTAGTATTACACGATTAGGACTTTGGAACTCGGCTTTTAAGACATGATGACTGACGATTGGCTGATGTCAGGTTTTGATAACCAGCATAATCTGGTGTCAGCTAGATATTGTGATGAAGTATGATGTTTTCCCACATTGTGAAATCCACTATGTTTTTATGGTAAGACGTGACACTTTTTTTAAAGGGATACTCCACCCAAAAATGCTAATTCTGTCAAGTTGTTGCAAACCTGTATGAGTTTCTTTCTTCTGCTGAACACAAAGGAAGAAATTGTAAAAAACGTTTGGAACTTTGGCACCATTAACTTCCATAGTATTTTTTTTTCTACTATGGAAGTCAATGGTGCCAAACAACTGTTTGGTTCCAATCGTTCTTCAATATATCGTCCTTTTAACATGTCTATTGAAAGAGGTTGTTTTTGAAAGCAAAGAATGAGACAAATCTCACTTGTCAAGAGTCATTTCAGTTTGAACTTGACACACCTAAAGTTTTAGTCCAAAACAGCAGTGCAAAAACATTCCTTGAAATCCTTGACATATGACAAGTACAGTATTGTCAATAAACTGTTTAATAAAAAATAAAAAATTTGATTAGTCTGCAAAATATCGTCACATTTTGTAAACTATATAATCACCCAGCTCTTGTCCGTCATTTTCTGTAAAGCTACTTTGAAACTAACAATGTGAGTTGTGAAAAGCGCTATACAAATAAAATCAACTTGATACATTATATGACAATTAGGTCTTAATCAACTATCAAAAGATATTT